TTCAGCATCAGTTTCATCTCTCCAAAGCTATCCGACATAAGGACTGTATCGTTCGCGTAGCGCAAATTATTTAGGTATTGCCATCAATGTTTATACCTTTTTGGGTCCAATCTAATTGTTTAAATGCACTCTCCAGGACTGTGATGAACAATTTGAGTGCAACATTGTATCGTCTTGTCTTACTCCACGCCCAATGGGTTTTCGGTCAGTACTTACATGCAATTTTACCGTCATTAAATAAGCCGTCATAAGTTTGGTGTATCGATAATCGACTCTGCATTCTTGAAGTACTTGCAAAACTGTCATCAACTCAATTTAATCAAATTTTATAAATACCTCTAACTACCCAGCTTGGGTAAATACCCCCGGGTATATATCCAGGGAATTTTCCCTTGAAAATAAATACCCGTGTATTTAACAACACTGAAGATGGGTATTTGGGTTGTAGCTATCTTTACAATTAGTCACAAATTAACTTCTGTAATTCCCCCAAGTTTGTTTGTATTCCGTCGTTCTATTCTAGTTGTAAAATCATCAAACCTCATAAATGAGATAAGATGCTGAATACAATGAGAATACAAAGGATTCTTGCTCCACAGGAATCACACTGGTTTTCTTTTTGCTTTTAGAGCCCCCATTGTAATTAGAACACCTATTACAACATAAATTTCAACTCTATCTGTTGGAATCCTTTTCTTTTCGGGATTCTTAGTGTTATACTCCTCAAGTATCATAGTGATGTTTGTAACTAATCGGGTTATCTCATATTCAAAAGTCTTTGAAATTTCTGGAAAACATCCCTTTTAATGTTATTGACTTCTTTCGCTTTTCTCAAGTATAAATAAGGTGATTCTAACCGATTAAAACCATTTTGACACACACCAACAAGCTGTTTATTGAGAGCTTTTTTGGAATTTTATGGGCAATTCATGGGAATTTTATTTTATTTCCAACTAAAACAGTAATGTATGTACAGAACTCAATAACCATAACAAAACAAGAGTAAAAACAGACTGGGGATAAATTGTTAATCCGAATCCTCTGTTATGAAGACGATGCCAATACCAAGTAATGATGTTTAACTAGTTTAATTTTATCTAGGGGTGGACACATCGAGCAACAAGATGTAATAATACAAGGATGTAGAAGTTAAATCCGAATATACAAAACTAGAGCTGAAACGTCTCACACTAATGAGGACTATAAAAATGAGAACCTTAAGAAGTATAAAAGGCATTACAATCCGGGACAGAGTATTGTTGATATAATGAGAGTACTCAGAGTACGGGATGTGATGAGATGGATAAAAAGTAATGTGCAAAAACACAAAGATCAGGAATCAAGCGTCCAGTTGGAAAGCTTATCATAGGAAGGAACGAGACAGAACCACCAGGACTAGGTCCTACAACAAGAAGAAGAAGATTTATATGCTAACGATTGATACTCAAGCAATGTTATTTGCATAAATACAAAATTAAGAATTTTTTTAATAAAGATTTTCTTAACTCTTTCACTACTAATTGATTTTTATAATAGTGCATACGCAAAGGCGTTTAAAGCCAGAATACAACAGATGAGATAAAGTCTTCAATGAATCTGAAAACAATTCTATTATCTCCTCCTTGGTGGAAATAGTACCATTAGAAACACACAATTCTCATGCATAAGAGATTCCAGGATTAACTGACACCAAAACAAAAATGCCCACAGATTATCAGAAGTAAGGCAAGAGTAATCACTTCAATTTCACTGTTTAGAGAGTCGAAAAAATTCCGTCAAAAAGAAAACGAAGAAAAGGTCTGGACAAATATATATATATATATATACATATATATACAGGGTGTCTCACGTAACTGGTTCGTAACTTTTTTAGGTTCCAGTATTCGTACAGTTNAAGCGGGTTTCAATCCTTAAAAATGTTTTTCGATTGGGCGCTCTGCGGTTCGAAAATTTCTCCTGATAACGGTTAGCGGCTGCTTGACATTGCCCTAATGTCAAAATCATGTCAGTTTGTTCACTAAATGTGTAACTCTCCGTTTTGAACACTTAAAATTAATAATAACTAACAGAACTATTGTTTGTGTTTAAACGACATGAGCAAGTTGACAGCAAGTTGTTTTTTTTTAATTGCCATGGCCAACCTTGACTTTTTCGAAGATTTTTGTTTTTTAATGTTACCATTGAAATCGAAGCTTAATATTTTCGCGTATAACTCGGAAACGGTCAATGTTATCAAAATTTTCAAAGAGTGATAAAAGTTTCTAAAATAAATTTTCTATTAAAAAGTACAAAAATAAATGTAGGGTTACCAGTGAACAAAAAAGTTCTGAGAAAACAAATTTTAGGGACAGCCTGTATAGCATGGTTGCCGCCGCCCGATCAAAGTGATCAAAGATATCTTAAGAATTCGATTTTTCACGACTTTTTTAAAATCACGCAATAATTCGTAAATCGACAAAAATTCGTATTGACTTCAAACATTTTTATCTCAAAAACGAATAAAGATATTCAAGTACAGTTTTAACCACGTAAAAGTACACACTTTTCTTTATATATAGCTAATATCTCGTCAGGATATCTTAAGAATTCGATTTTACACGATTTTTTTAATATCACACAATAATTCGTAAATCGATAAAAAATCATATTGAGTTCAAACATTTTTATCTCGAAAACGAATAAAGATATTCAAGTACTGTTTTAACCACGTAAAAGAACAAGCTTTTCTTTATAACTAGTAGCTCATAAAGATATCTTAAGAATTCGATTTTTCACAATTTTTTTAAAATCACGAAACACTTCGTAAATCGATAAAAAATTATATTGACTTCAAACATTTTTATCTCAAAAACGAATAAAGATATTCAAGTACAGTTTTAGCCACGTAAAAGTATATACTTTTCGTTATATATAGCTAGTATCTCATAAAGATATATTAAGAATTCGATTATTCACGATTTTTTTTTAAATTACGCAATACTTCGTAAATCGACAAAAATTTGTGTTGACTTCAAACATATCTATCTCAAAAACGAATAGAGATATTCAAGTGTAGTTTTAACCACGTAAAAGAACAAGCTTTTCTTTATATATAACTAGAATCTCATGAAAATATCTTAAGAATTCGAGTTTTCACGATTATTTTAAAATCACGCAATAATTTGTAAATTGACAAAAATTATTACAGACTTCAAACATTTCTATCTCAAAAACAAATAGAGATATTCAAGTGCAGTTTTAACCACGTGAAAGAACAAGCCTTTGTTTACATATAGCTAGTAGTTCATGAAGATATCTTAAGAATTCGAGTTTTCACGATTTTTTTTAAATTACGCAATAATTCGTAAATCGTAGTATCAAAATTGGTTCAATGATTTTGCTTGATATTTGTTTACCCTCTACCAAATTTCAACGCTCTACCATAAATGGTATTGAAAATATTTAGAAAAATGTGTTAAAATTTTTGAACTTTGATGGCCCATATTTTTGCCATTTGAAGACTTTTATAATAATTTTTTTTCACGAATCGTCATCATTTTTGCTCTACTATATGAGGTTAATTTTATGCCCCGAGTCACCGGAACACCCTGTATATGTGAGATAAATAAAAATAAAATAGTAAGAACTGTTCAAATACCTGGAATCTCCTCTATTGATTTGATTCATGATGATATTTTCTCTTTTAACTTGATGCATCTTAAAACATCCTGGTTTTTATCAAAAAAAACTTTCTTGACATAATATTTTCAAGAGTATCTAAATAATAAAGAAAAAAATCTTTCTATAAAATATTATTTAATGATTTTCTTTCCATTTTATGTTTGATGTAAATAAAATTCGTTTTCGCACTTTAAATGGATTTATTTTTATTATTTCTTTACCGGTTTCGCTATTTGTTGGCATCATCAGGAGAATACGTCAATGGTTACAAAAGTATCTTACTTATTAGTAATTATATTTACCACTAGAATTTTGTAAAATTATGGTTAATTATAATTTTTTTTAGGTTAATCCTCTCTAATCATAATTTTACAAAATTCTCAGTGTAATTTAAAAGTGTAAATACAAAAAAGAAAGAAATGCCCAGTAACTTCTTTAATAAGATGCTTTTGACGTATTCTCTTGATGATGCTATAACAAATAGCGAAACCGGTAGAGAAATAATAAAAATAAAAAATCCATTTAAAGTGCGAAAACGAATTTTATTTATATTTCTATAAAATAATTGAGGGAAAAATCAATGTTAACCCACAAATCTTTCAGATAATTTTAACGAGATGATAAATATATTTTACAAAAATCTTTGGATATCGTTTCACAACTTTAATTCAAAAAAACATTTCAGTTTATTNAAATCAATGTTAACCCACAAATCTTTCAGATAATTTTAACGAGATGATAAAAGTGTCCCTAAATATATTTTACAAAAATCTTTGGATATCGTTTCACAACTTTAATTCAAAAAAAAAAAAGAAAAACATTTCAGTTTATTCAAAGATCTTGGTCTGTAATTGGAAGTAAAAGGAATAATAAAAAAAAAAGTTGACCTACCGGATCGGGTTCGGTCTCTTTTCGAGAAATTCGCCTCAAAAAGAAGAAGAAAAATCGTACGAGGTGTGTTTCCAGCATGTATATGACGAATTAATTAGCTGCAGGACGGTCTCGGTTCGAATCGAAAACTCTTTTTCGACGATCGTTGCGGTTGTCCTCCCGAAAAAAAGAACATAAAGAATAAAAATAAAATAAATTAAAACGAACTAAACGGATTGAGACGTTCCGATGAAAAATTTCGGGAATTTCGTCGGCGTCGCCGTCGTTAATCGACCGTTTGTTTCGGTTTTTGTAGATTTCTGTTAAAAACTAACTCGAAATTTAAAAGTTCGTGGGATTATTTCGTATTAACTTAATAATTTTATCATTACTTACCTAAATGAGACTGGTTATAGGATCCTAAATAATAAAAAAAAATTTTATTATTAATTATTAATAAATAAATTCAATTTAAAACAATGGCACAAATAAATAATTCCACAAATATTAAAATATAAAAAAAAATTACAAACTTCCGATATCATTAAATCTTTTAAGTTTCTCAGGAAACGGATCTTTATAAAGCACCGGATCCGCGCGAAATTCCACCGATTTTAACGGCATTCGTCCAAAAGCTTTCGCAAATCGATCGACGCATTTTGAACGTTCGATCATGTGTCCTAAATCGGCTGATAACATCTCGTTATTAACACATTCGGGGCATTTAAATTTTTTCCTCGGCGCCACCTAAAAAATGATTCAATAATAATTAAATCTAAAATTAATTTTAATGTTCCAACCTTAATAGGAGGTTTATTTGTAACATTAGCCACCAAAAAATTCATTGCGATATCCTCACAATTCATATGATCGTCAACCCAATCTTTAACTTCAGAAGGCATCGAAGTCGTGTATAAATAATGCCAATATTTATGTAAAAAAGCGGCTCCAGTTAACACCATCGATATTTCATTAGTCCATTCGGATTCGTATTTCCACGATAACGTGGTGTTATCCCAAATGTGAGTTCGCGATGGGTAACCTAAAAAAAATTATAATCTAAATTAAATTTTGTTTATCAAGTTAGTTCATATAAAAATATTAACGTGGTTATTACAACTTTGGTGACGTCACCATCGTTTCGCACGCGATTGGTTGAAATAAAAATTAATAAAAGGTGCATGAGGGAGATGCCACGAGAATCTTATGCGCTAGAAGAAGAGATCTGAACGATGCACGTTTGTGTCTTCTTGATCTTACACGAAAACTTCGTAAAGGTCACCAAAGCTTTTGAATTTTAACATTAATTATTGAAAAAATTAATCCTTCTATTTTTACATAGTTTATAGATTTTTTGAAAGACGGTTCTATTCGATTGGAAATTTGGAAATCATTGTAAAAATACAAGTAGCAAATGATAATTTATGTTGGCAAAGAAGAAAGCAACTTTAAATACATATTATAAAGAAAGACAAATTACAATTAATGCATTAATAGTAGAAGGATTAAAATATAACTTGCTATCAGTTTCACAACTAGTTAAAAAAGGAATAAAAGTAACGTTTACAAGAAATTTTATAAAGTTATTCTCAAATGGATTCGAAATTGAAAAGGTTATCTGCACTTCAATTAGTAGTTACGACGTCAGGCTGCTTCCCGGCGCTTTGTGAACTTCAAAGTATAGATTGCAGGTTATTGATGTTTGATGCGAGCGAAATTGATAGGCAGCCACTTTACCCATTGCCTAACATAGATGCTAAGGTGGAGTACTTTAATTCCAAGGTTTTTGACCTCTATGACAAGCATGCTCCGGAGAGGCGGCGGAGAGTTAGACACATGCTCAGCTAAATGATGATTGTTCGAACGTAGCCCTTCTGCTGCCAATCGGGAACATTATCGTGTGCTGCGCAACATCGATGCAAAAACGCTAAAAGATTGCACTACCGCCAGAGGTTGTCTGGAACCACTCATAAGACATTTTGGAAAACTATGCGGTCACTTGGTGTTATAGAGTCTCCCACAGATCAACCCACTCTTGGTGCTGCTGCTCTAGCGGAGTATTTTGCGGGTCCTCTTGTGGTGGTTGATAACATAACTAGGCAGAATAATATTAATGAAATCCTTGCATCTACCAACGTGCTTTCTTTTTCATTCAGCTTGGTTACAGACGCTGAGGTCCGTGATGCTTTAACTTACTCCAAGTCCACTAGTGTCGGAGCAGATGGTATTGGACTCAGATTCCTCAATAGTTATTACTCCCCTAACACATATTTTCAACTGTTCTTTTGAACAGTCTATATTTCCGTCAATCTGGCAAATCGCTCATGTTATTCCTATCACAAAAATTAAATCTCCTTCCTATGTTGGTGACTTTCAACCCATTTCTATTCTATCTACGTTGTCAAAAGCTATTGAACGTTTAGCTTATTTACAGATTCAGAAATATCTTGAGGAGTTTAATCTGATTTACAAGTTCCAGTCTGGTTTTCGTGAAGGGCATGGTACTACTACAGCACTGATTAATATCACCCATGATATTAGATCTGCTTGTGATAAAGCGTTGTGTTACCTTGCTAGTGTGATTCTGTGGACCATGCCCTCCTGTTAACTAAGCTTTCTGCTATTGGTTGTACCTCTTCTTGTGTATCTTGGTTTCAGTCCTACCTTTCATATCGGTCTTTACGTGTCCGCGTGGAATCTATATTCTCTTCTCCTATTGACATCAAATGTGGAGTTCCCCAGGGCAGTCTGCTGGGTCTTTTGCTCTTCTCAATTTTCATAAATAGTATTAGTGATGGTATCTCGGGTAACTATCTTATCAACGATCTCTCTAGCGTACTTGACTGGTCTAGACGTCAGGGACTTAACCTGAATCTAGGTAAAACGCAAGCCATTGCATTTGGCACTCGTCCCTTGCTGGCACAATTTAATTCCTTAACTACCCTTCAACTGAGGCTCAAAAATCTTGGTGTGGTAATGAATTCGGCGATGTCTTGGCCACAAGTTCAGGGAGTCTGTAAGAGGGTTTATTTCTGTTTCCATACTTTGAAAAAACTTTGCTGCTACCTTCCTTCTGCTGTACGTCGTAATCTTTGTTATTCAGTAAGTTAAGAAAGATGCAGAATATGTATAGAAGGAAAATCGACAAGGAAAGCATTCGCGAGATTCAATAAAGAAACTCGACAAATTGGAGAATTAATACACACGGATGTTAGGGATATTTTGTATGTGAGTGAATTTGGGTTGGTAGTGCGAAGGTCGAAAAGAACAGGTTCGGACAGGATTGAGAGCGTGTGTCGTGAATAAAAAGGGTTGGAGTTAAATTAAAACGGACGTGTTTTGATCACATACGATTACTTAACTAAGTTTTTTTTAATAATGTATTGTTGAGGACTTAATAAAGCCTTAATAATATTCACTTTTCGGACATATTAGAGCCTTTACAATTCCGTACATTATGAAATTACCGAACTAATGAAATAATCAATGCCAGAGATGTGATATTTGATGAAAACTTAATAGATTTTAAGAAGATTCGTAATAATGAACAAATTGAATAAATAGCTGTTACAAGGGATAAAGTACATACAATAAAAAGGGATAATGAAGAAAAAGCCTGACTAAATACGAAGATAATGAAACGACGACAGATGACATAGAAGAAAATGTTACAGAAGATAAACGCACAAAATCTGGTCGATAAGTTAAAATACCTAAACTCTTCAGATTACGAATTATACAACAGTTATTGTTTAAATAGAAACACTGTAGATCCTGAAACATTTCAAGAGGCTGTAAAAGAACAAAAAATGGATATTCAAGACAAAATAAGATGGCACAAATAAAATAAGACTAGTGACCAGAAGATTTCAACAAAAAAAATAAGATATTTATAAATCTATATATGTCCCAGTGGCAAGAACAAGTACAATAAGAGTAATGTTAACTCGTGCAATAAAAATAGGATGGAATATCAGACAATTGGAGCTCTCCTGAACAGAATACTCGAAAATGAGGTTGAATAGTGAATCAACATCAAAGTACCTAAAACTCCTGAATCTCCAAAGCATACAAAATTCAACAAAGTTGTTTNTGCAGAATATGTATAGAAGGAAAATCGACAAGGAAAGCATTCGCGAGATTAAATAAAGAAACTCGACAAATTGGAGAATTAATACACACGGATGTTAGGGATATTTTGTATGTGAGTGAATTTGGGTTGGTAGTGCGAAGGTCGAAAAGAACAGGTTCGGACAGGATTGAGAGCGTGTGTCGTGAATAAAAAGGGTTGGAGTTAAATTAAAACGGACGTGTTTTGATCACATACGATTACTTAACTAAGTTTTTTTTAATAATGTATTGTTGAGGACTTAATAAAGCCTTAATAATATTCACTTTTCGGACATATTAGAGCCTTTACAATTCCGTACATTATGAAATTACCGAACTAATGAAATAATCAATGCCAGAGATGTGATATTTGATGAAAACTTAATAGATTTTAAGAAGATTCGTAATAATGAACAAATTGAATAAATAGCTGTTACAAGGGATAAAGTACATACAATAAAAAGGGATAATGAAGAAAAAGCCTGACTAAATACAAAGATAATGAAACGACGACAGATGACATAGAAGAAAATGTTACAGAAGATAAACGCACAAAATCTGGTCGATAAGTTAAAATACCTAAACTCTTCAGATTACGAATTATACAACAGTTATTGTTTAAATAGAAACACTGTAGATCCTGAAACATTTCAAGAGGCTGTAAAAGAACAAAAAATGGATATTCAAGACAAAATAAGATGGCACAAATAAAATAAGACTAGTGACCAGAAGATTTCAACAAAAAAAATAAGATATTTATAAATCTATATATGTCCCAGTGGCAAGAACAAGTACAATAAGAGTAATGTTAACTCGTGCAATAAGAATAGGATGGAATATCAGACAATTGGAGCTCTCCTGAACAGAATACTCGAAAATGAGGTTGAATAGTGAATCAACATGAAAGTACCTAAAACTCCTGAATCTCCAAAGCATACAAAATTCAACGAAGTTGTTTTAAAGTACAAGTTGAACCGATCACTTTATGATTGTTATTTATATTTTGATAAGAAAATATGGCTCTTAGTTTATGTTGATGATTTATTGATAATTGGAGAAGATATAAATATAGAAGAAATGGTAAATAAATGAAAATTAGAATTTAATGCTAAAGATTTAGGAAATGCGAAGGCATTTTTAGGAGTGAATATAGTGCATACAGATAAAAGTTTAAATATAAATCAAACAGATATAATAAACTTATAGGAAGTTTGATGTACTTTGCAGTGATCACACGACCAGATATTATGTTCTCAGTGTCTTTTCTTAGCAGATATTTAAACTGGGCATTAAAATATAAATTCTTCCATATTTAAAAGAAACCAAGGATTTAGACCTTACTTATAAGTTAAATAGGACAAGCAATAGCTTGATTGCTTATAGTGATTCTAATTGGGTATTTGATAAATCAGATAGAAAAAGTATCAGTGGGGGACTCTTATTTTATGGAAATATGAACTGCAAAATCCAGCACAAGAAATAATTAATTTAAAAGGAATATTAGAGGATTTTGATGTGAAATCAAATAGAATTATGTACTTCGACAACAAAATCACAATTTTTATGGCAAATTCGTTTGAAAATTCGAAGAGGTCTAAACATATCGATATCAGAAATTATTTTCTTAAAGAATTAATAAACAATAAAGCTATTAACATGCAATATGTACCTACTGCTGAAAATGTCGCAGACATCCTAACAAAACCTCTACCAAGACATTTATTTATTAAATATAGAACCATAATGTTTTAATATTAACAATTACAATCGTTAATTATATAATCAATATGGTTGTAATTGAGGGAGGATGTTGAATTTTGTTTCAATCAAGTTAGTTGATATAAAAATATGAATGTGGTTAAAGTTGTTATGTACAGGGTGGGCCAAATTGGACACTTTTAAAGGGTCCTCTTTCTATAAGAGATTAAGGAAATAAAATATCAGTGTCTGAGGCTCGATTTTTATAAGAAACTTAATGGCGAAAACCGCATATCGATATCTCTTACGGTTTCAGAAATACAGGGGTGTATTTCAAAAAAGTGCATTTTTGGAAAGTCAAAAAATGGGACATGATAATTTGTTTTATACAATTTGGGGAGAATGCAGAGACTGTAGGAAATTTATGCCATGAACGATATCCAGAGAGGCGGCAATTTAATGATATTTTTAGAAGATTATGATATAATTTACAAACTAGCGGTCAATTCGAAAATAAAAGATGGAAAATATCCAATATGCGGCAATTGAGTGTAACCAAAGCTAAGCGGATTTTTAAAAAATTTAAATTTAAGCCATACAGAACTAGCAAAGTCCATTACCTCAGACCAGGAGATCTTGAACGGCGCATGAATTTTTGCCAATGGCTCTTAGGAAAATGGGACAAAGCAATTTTTCTTTAAATTGTATTTGGACAGATGAAGCGTATGTGAGTAGTGCTGGTGCATAAAATATTTGAACATATTTAGGCAACAAATCGAACTTGTTGTTGACGATTTACCTCTAGCGCATCTGCGAAATGTATTTTTTCAACATGATGATGCACCACCTCACAATACTGATATTGTCACCAATTTTTTGACCGCAGCTTTTGGTGATTATTGGTTGGGTTGGGCGATTTGGTCACCTATGGATTTTTTCCTTTGGGGAAAGATTGAAAGATGTTATCTATAAACAGCCAATAAATTCCCCACAGCAATTAGAAGCCGCAATAGTGCACGCTTTTGCAACACTTAGGCCCATTATCAACTCGGCAAAAAGGGCTAAAAAAAGATGTCGACGAACATTTTCTATACAAAAGGGATTTACTTTTGTTGTTATATATTTATTCTTGTTTTATAATAAGCTTTATTAATTTAATCTGCTTCTTGTTTATGAGTTTATGTTTTAATTCATTGTAAACANAAAATGGGACATGATAATTTGTTTTATACAATTTGGGGAGAATGCAGAGACTGTAGGAAATTTATGCCATGAACGATATCCAGAGAGGCGGCAATTTAATGATATTTTTAGAAGATTATGATATAATTTACAAACTAGCGGTCAATTCGAAAATAAAAGATGGAAAATATCCAATATGCGGCAATTGAGTGTAACCAAAGCTAAGCGGATTTTTAAAAAATTTAAATTTAAGCCATACAGAACTAGCAAAGTCCATTACCTCAGACCAGGAGATCTTGAACGGCGCATGAATTTTTGCCAATGGCTCTTAGGAAAATGGGACAAAGCAATTTTTCTTTAAATTGTATTTGGACAGATGAAGCGTATGTGAGTAGTGCTGGTGCATAAAATATTTGAACATATTTAGGCAACAAATCGAACTTGTTGTTGACGATTTACCTCTAGCGCATCTGCGAAATGTATTTTTTCAACATGATGATGCACCACCTCACAATACTGATATTATCACCAATTTTTTAACCGCAGCTTTTGGTGATTATTGGTTGGGTTGGGCGATTTGGTCACCTATGGATTTTTTCCTTTGGGGAAAGATTGAAAGATGTTATCTATAAACAGCCAATAAATTCCCCACAGCAATTAGAAGCCGCAATAGTGCACGCTTTTGCAACACTTAGGCCCATTATCAACTCGGCAAAAAGGGCTAAAAAAAGATGTCGACGAACATTTTCTATAGAAAAGGGATTTCCTTTTGTTGTTATTTGTTGGAATATATTTATTCTTGTTTTATAGTAAGCTTTATTAATTTAATCTGCTTCTTATATATGAGTTTATGTTTTAATTCATTGTAAACAACTATCTTGATACTACTTATAAATATAATCTCGTTTTTCATTTATTTCCAAAGCCTACTTTTTCAAAATCTGCACATATAAATTTTAAAATTGTATATTTCAAAGAACGAAATATCAAGTGTGCCATATTTTTGGAAAGGAAATTGTATGCTTTCGTCGAATTAGCAAAAATATATAGGGTGTTTGATTTAAAAAAATCATTTTTATGTCAATAATTGCTAAAATATTGCTTTGAGGGAAAGCTAACTTATTCCATTGAATTCTACATAAAATGTTGCTTTGGAAATGTTTTTACAGAAGGGAATATTTATCAATAAGAAATGCATTCGAAAATGCACTTTTTTGAAAAACACCCTGTATCTTTGAACCTGTAAGAGATATTGATATGCGGTTTTCGCCATTAAGTTTCTTATAAAAATCGAGCTTCAGACTCTGATATCATTTTTTCTCTATCTCTTATAGAAATAGGAGTTTTGCTTTAAAAGTGCTTTAAAAGCTTTGACAAGCTCTTTAAGCATAAATAATTAAAACATTAAAAAGATAAATTAATTTGTACCGATTAATCTATCAGGAAATTCTCGCCAAACTTCATAACCAAACTCCAATTCATCAGCTGTCAACATAACAATATCATCATCAATGCTTAAAACGGCTTCAGTTTGGATTTCTTCATAAGGATAAAATCGATTTGAAAGTTTATTCGCTCGCGTTTGAATGATTTTCAGCGGTTTTTGTATTTGGGGGAATGATGACACTAAAATTAAAACATCCATGATTATTAAAAATTGTTAAAAATAAGTACTAACAAGATGGTGGAGATTTCCTTTGATTATTCCAAACAACGATAACCTTCATCAAACTAGGAACTTTAGCCAACTTCTCAATGAGCACAAACAAACTTTGAACTCGATCATAAGTCAAAATAACCGCGGTAAATCCTTCATTCCTCGGCGCTGTTATCGGCAAAAACAAAGGATTCGTTAACTTCTCTTCAGGTGACATATTCCAATCGTCATAAACTCGCCCCCATTGGGGATAAACCCGGTCTTGAATCACATTCAAAACGGTCCCAACAATCTCTTTAATCCCCTTAAAATAACTCCGATACAAAAAAAGAACTTGTTTCCGCATTCTCAATCGCCTCTCCTCGGAAATATTCGCCAAAACATCCATTAACCCCCGAATATGTTCCTCCATTATAAAAACGGCGGCCCGTTTCCAATCAATTACGTTATGAAAAGGCATCACAACTCCGTCTTCGACTATAACAGGAACACAACCCGCAGCCATCGCTTCTAAAAGCACTAATTGTCCCATTCGTTCTCCACGAAAAACCAAACAAAATTTGCTTTTTTGTAAAATTTGTGGGTAACGATATTTGTGTTGAGTTTCAACGTCGCAACGGCGAGTATAATTTTTGTCTTCTCTGCATTCGTCTAAAATGAGAAGGTCGTTGGAATGGAGTAGTTGAAGATCTTGAAGTTCTTGAGCGAAATATGGATCAATCGAGATTTGAGTTGAAAGAACTAACCAGTCCCTGAAAATAAAATATTTTTAGAATTAATGGAAAAATTCAAAAATCATCAAGTGAAACCAATGCAGTTTTCCATTGGTTAGGATAGACCCCAAATTCCAGAGAACAATTAATAATATGACACAAATATAGAACAATAACAAGGCAACACAACAACAACATTTTTACACTAATACCATCACACCTTTCATTTTTAGAGGAAAGTACAGCCTACTAGAAATTACAATTATAGAATTGTATATAAGATCTGCATCACCAAGGCTGTTATTTTGAGAGGATAGGAAAAAATTATTAATGGAATCAGCACCGCCAATGTTACTAGGAATGCCACTAGTTTTATTTTTACAAACTCCCAAAGACTTAAAGTCACCCCATAGTTTTTTTGAATTATTATGCCTAAATGCGTGAGATAAAAAGGCTTTCTTTTTACGTTGGAGTGCAATATTGGTGAAGTTACGTAGTTATTTGTAGTAAGTAAAATCAGAAGGTGAGTTAGAGAATTTAAATTTATTGTATTTCTCAATCTCATAAGAAATTTAATGTTGTCCGTAACCCAAGGGAATTAAAAAAAAGATTAATAATATAATAATTAAAAAAATCAACTTTATCGTTAATATTCGGCAGGTAAAAAAATTCCTGCCAAGGAAGTGCTCTCAGCTGATCCAGAAAAATTTCAAAGTTAAAGTTTCTGAAGTCTCTATAAGTAATGCTTTTAATTGTAGAACGATGTAAATCAAAAGACAACAAAGATAAGTGAGTGATCAGCATGTTATGTTTTAGAATTATATTAATTTTAGATTATATTAACAATATTAATATAATTCGTGAGGAATGTAATAATATTTCATCCGAATTGTGGTCGCAGTGCGTAAAACACGTGAAAGATATCGAAGATTCGTATCATATCTCTTACGGTTTCAGAGATACAGGTGTTTTTCAGAAAAGGGCATTTGAAAATCTGAAAAGTTTCCAAGTTGTATATTTCAAAGAAGATTTAAACGAGATATATATTTTTGTAAAGGAAATTTTATATTCTCGTCGAATTTGCAAAAATATATTTAATATTTATCATTTTTATGTCAATAACTACTAAAATATTGCTTTGAAGGGAACCTAACATATTCCATCGAATTCTACGCAAAAAGTTGCTTTGGAAATGTTTTAGGAAGATTTATCAATAAGAAAAAAGTTATAACTACTTTTCGAAAAACATCCTGTATCTCTGAAACCGTAAGAGATATCGATATGCGGTTTTCGCCATTAAGTTTCTTATAAAAATCGAGCCTCAGATACTGATATCATTTTTCCTCTATCTCTTATAAAAAGAGGAATTTCCCTTTAAAAGTGTCCAATTTGGCCCACCCTGTATGTACAGCGTTTTATTATTAGTGTTGACGATTCTTCTGATGACGACAACTTAGAATGCGCGTAAAGTGACAACTATTATGACACTGATGAAGAATCTTGAATTAACGACAATCGCCGGTTAAAAATGTTAAATGATTCATATTTAAATAAAATAAAAAAATTACTGCCACTACTATTTCTGAGAGTCATAAAAACCACCAGAAAAATCGGAGACTATATATATATATATATATAATTCATGTTGCGAGTCATAAATGTAGGTATATAAATAAAAATAACTTCTTTCTCGCTATAAAAAATTAATATATTCAGAACTGATTTCGGCTAATAAGCCATCATCAGCTGAAATGTCAAAAATAAAATAAAAACTTAAACATAAATTAAATCGATTGTCACTTCATTCGTCTTTGTGGTGTAGTTTTCTTGTTATTTTATCATTTTTACATAAAACTTTTAAAATATATTTCAGTTTTTATTTTATCTTTGACAATTCAGCTTTGACGATAGCTTATTAACCGAAACCGGTTCTGAATATATTATTTTTTTATAGCGACAAAGAAGTTATTTTATTTAAATATCTAAATTTTATGTATTACGTATAGTTGTCACACCCGATTCAAGAACAGGAGCATCTACATTTAAAATCACAAAGTCAATCAATGTGGCGGAGGAGACGGTGATACAAGTTGGGGTGGAGATAATTTGTTGAAGGCTAAACTGTTCAATAGTAAGAATGAACCGACTGCCATAACAGCCATTAGTATATAAGCCATTAATGTTAAAATCACCCATGCAAACAAGTTGCAGACGTCTCTCAAGACGATTAAACCTGAATGATTCTAGTTCTAGTGCAAAACTAGATCCAAAGTCTTGGAAAAGTGTATAACAACGTGTAAACAATATGCTGCCTCCGTTCCAATTCGGTTTTCGACCTAGTTATAGTTGTGCCACTGCCTTATTAAACGTCACTGATAATCTCTTGAGCGCTCGCGATGATGGTCAGAGTGGAGTGGTTGTGCTCCTGGATTTTGACAAAGTCAACCACCGAATGCTGTTATCCCTTCTGCATTATGTTGGTATATCTGAGTCGGCAGTATCTTTTATAAACAGCTTCTACTTTTCTTTCAAGAAAAATATACCACATCTAACGCTAAACAACATTTAAAACTAGAATTAACACTAGACCTAGAACTAGAAACATTCGGTTGAGAAATTCGTACTGGTTTAAATGTTAATGAACCTAACTCAAAGAGGACACAAAATTCTGAAATAAATCAGTAAATTAGGTGGATCCCAATGTAACGTTTCAAAAAGATATGTCGCATCTGGGTGACAAAGAATCAAGTGTTGTAGCAGCAATTTTTAAATCTGTAATGGAAGGGACAAAGAAAGATATCACTCAACAGAAGTATATTTTCAGTAAGTAGTCTTCAGCCAGTAGTATTGTAATCTCCAAGCAATTAGTAATCTTTCCAACAATATTTAGCATTCATTACTAGTTAATAGTCTTTTGAAAGCAGCATCTTATCAGGTCGTAATCTTTTCTAGTAGTATATCCAGTATCTAGCATTTTGGAAGCACTAGGTACCTTTTTAGAAAGCATATTTCTTCTTTCCAAGTAGTTATTAGTCTTTTCCAGTAGTATTTAGCATTATAGCAGCATTAGATAGCTTTTTGGAAAGCATATCTCTTTTCCAAACAATTAATAAAGTCTTTGGAAGCAATAAGTAGTCTTGGAAGCAGTATTCCGCTTGTCCAAGTAGGTCAAAACCTTTAACAGTAGTGTTTAGCGTTTTGGAAGCAATAGGTATTATTTTGAAAACAGTATCTAGTATTTTCCAAGTAAGTTGTAGTCTTTTTCTGCAATATCTAGCATTTTAAAAGCAGTAGCTAACTTTTTGAAATAGTATTTCCTCTTTCCAAGCAGTTTTCGGTCTTTTACTAGCAGTATTTAATCTTCTGATAGCAATAATTAGTTTTTTGCCAACAGTATCTAGCATTCAAGAACCAACAAGTTAAAGAGGAGGGTAGGGCATGGCTAACCCAACCCGGAATTTACAACCCACCCTCTGCTCCATGCTCAACCCGAAACTCAAAGTGGAATTTCTACATAAAATTCTGAAATAGATCAGTAAATTAGGTGGATCCTGGGTGACAAAGAATCGAGTGTTGTAGCAGCAATTTTTAAATCTGTAATGGAAGGGACACAGAAAGATATCACTCAACAGAAGAACAATTTTCNGATAATTTGTTGAAGGCTAAACTGTTCAATAGTAAGAATGAACCGACTGCCATAACAGCCATTAGTATATAAGCCATTAATGTTAAAATCACTCATGCAGACAAGTTGCAGATGTCTCTCAAGACGATGAGACCTAAATGATTCTAGTTCTAGTGCAAAACTAGATCCAAAGTCTTGGAAAAGTGTATAACAACGTGTAAACAATGTGCTGCCTCCGTTCCAATTCGGTTTTCGACCTAGTTATAGTTGTGCCACTGCCTTATTAAACGTCACTGATAATCTCTTGAAGGCTCGCGATGATGGTCAGAGTAGAGTGGTTGTGCCCCTCGATTACAGCAAGGCTTTTGACAAAGTCAACCACTGAATGCTGTTATCCCTCCTGCATTATGTTGGTATATCTGAGTCGGCAGTATCTTTTATAAACAGCTTCTACTTTTCTTCCAAGAAAAATATACCACATCTTACGCTAAACAACATTTAAAACTAGAATTAACACTAGACCTAGAACTAGAAATATTCGGGTTTTGCCGCACGTCTCTCAAAACGGCTAAACCCGAATGACTTTAGTTCTAGGTCTTGTGTTAGTTTTAGTGCAAAATTAAGACACTAGACCTAGAACTAGAAACATTCGGTTGATAAATTCGTACTGGTTTAAATGTTAATTAACCTAAGTTAAGGAGGACACAAAATTCGGAAATAAATCAGTAAATTAGGTGGATCCCAATGTAACGTTTCAAAAAGATATGTCGCATCTGGATGACAAAGCATCAAGTATTGTAGCAGCAATTTTTAAATCTGTAATGGAAGGGACAAAGAAAGATATCACTCAAGAGAAGAATAGTTTCAGTAAGTTGTCTTCAGCTAGTAGTATTGTAATCTCCAAGCACTTAGTAGTGTTTTGGCAGCAGTACATAGTCTTCTGATCGCATTAAATAGTCTTTACCAACAATATCTAGCTTTCTCCAAGCAATTAGTAATCTTTCCAACAATATTTAGCATTCATTACTAGTTAATAGTCTTTTGAAAGCAGCATCTTGCCAGGTTGTAAACTTTTTTAGTAGTATATAGCTCTCTGAAAGCAGTAAGTAATCTTATGGAAGCTCTTATCTCGTCTTTCCAATCAGTTTGTAGCTGTTTGTTAGCACTATCTAGTCTTCTCCCAGCAGATTGTAATCTTTTCCACCAGTATTTAGCATTTTGGAAGCAGTAAGTACCTTTTTAGAAAGCATATCTCTTCTTTCCAAGTACTTATTAGTCTTTTCCAGTAGTATTTAGCATTCTGGCAGCATTAGGTAGCTTTTTGGAAAGCATAACTCTTTTCCAAACAATTATTAAAGTCTTTGAAAGCAATAGGTAGCCTTGGAAGCAGTATTCCGTGTTTAGCGTTCTGGAAGCAATAGGTATTACTTTGAAAACGGTATCTAGTCTTTTCCAAGTAAGTTGTAGTCTTTTTCTGCAATATCTAGCATTTTAGAAGCAGTAGCTAACTTTTTGAAATAGTATTTCCTCTTTCCAAGCAGTTTTCGGTCTTTTACTAGCAGTATTTAATCTTCTGATAGCAATCATTACTCTTTTGCCAACAGTATCTAGCATTCAGGAACCAATAAGTTAAAGAGGAGGGTAGGGCATGGCTAACCCAACCCGGAATTTACAACCCACCCTCTGCTCCATGCCCAACCCGAAACTCAAAGTGGAATTTCTACATAAAATTCTGAAATAGATCAGTAAATTAGGTGGATCCTGGGTGACAAAGAATCGAGTGTTGTAGCAGCAATTTTTAAATCTGTAATGGAAGGGACACAGAAAGATATCACTCAACAGAAGAACAATTTGAGTAAATAGTCTTCAGCCAGTAGTATTGTAATCTCCAAGCACTTAGTAGTGTTTTGGCAGCAGTATATAGCCTTCTGCAAGCATTAAATTGTCTTTACCAACAATATCTAGCTTTCTCCAAGCAATTAGTAGTCTTTCCAACAATATTCAGCATTCTCAAAGTAGTTAATAGTCTTTTGGAAACAGTATCTTGTCATTCCAAGCAGATCATAGTTTCTCCCATCAGTATTTAGTCTTCTCCAAGCAGGTCGTAATCTTTTCTAGTAGTATATAGCGCTCTGAAAGCAGTAAGTAGTCTTATGGAAGTAGTATCTCGTCTTTCCAATCAGTTTGTAGTTGTTTGTTAGCACTATCTAGTCTTCTCCAAGCAGATTGTAATCTTTTCCACCAGTATCTAGCATTCTGGAAGCAGTAGGTAAATTTTTAGAGAGCATATCTTTTCTTTCCAAGTAGTTATTAATCTATTCCAGTAGTATTTAGCATTCTGGCAGCATTCGGTAGCTTTTTGGAAAGCATATCTCTTCTTTCTAAGCAGATATTAGTCTTTTCCAGCAGTATCTAACATTGTGGAAGCAGTAAGTTGCTTTTTGGAAAGCATATCTCTTTTGTAAACAATTATTACAGTCTTTGGAAGCAATAAGTAGTCGTGGAAGCAGTATTCAAAACAGTTATTAGTCTTTTCCAGCAGTATCTAACATTGTGGAAGCAGTAGGTAGCTTTTTGGAAAGCAGATCTCTCTTGTAAACAATTATTATAGTCTTTTGAAACAATAAGTAGTCTTGGGAGCAGTATACTAAGCAGTTATTAGTCTTTTCCAGCAGTATCTAACATTGTGGAAGCAGTAGGTAGCTTTTTGGAAAGCATATCTCTTTTTTCTAAGCAGTTGTTAGTCTTTTCCAGCAGTATCTAACATTGTGGAAGCAGTAGGTAGCTTTTTGGAAAGCATATCTTTTTTGTAAACAATTATTACAGTCTTTGGAAGCAATAAGTAGTCTTGGAAGCAGTATTCTAAGTAGTTATTAGTCTTTTCCAGCAGAATCTAACATTGTGGAAGCAGCAGGTAGCTTTTTGGTCTTTTCCAAACAATTATTAAAGTCTTTGAAAGCAATAAGTAGTCTTGGAAGCAGTATTCCGCCTGTCCAAGTAGCTCAAAACCTTTAACAACATTATACAATATGCTAGATATTAAAATTAAAAATGCTAGATATTATACAATATCTAGCATTTTAAAAGCAGTAAGTAGCTTTCTGAAATAGTCTCCTCTTTCCAAGCAGTTTTTAGTCTTTTACTACTAATATTAAATCTTCTGATAGCAATAATTTAGTCTTTTGCCAACAGTATCTAGCATCAGGTATAGATTTTAGGTTATCTTTACTTTATAGATGATAAACAATGACATTTTAACATGAAAATCTAAAAAACAACCGTATTTCATCCGAAAATATGCGTTTTAACCAAATGTGGTGCAAAAATACATAATAATAAGGTTAGCATGGTCGATGACGTCACAAAAAGTGACGTCACGTCGAAACTTTAAAGTGATTTTTTGGTATTTAATTAAATTTAAAGCAAATTAAACATTATCAAATAAATAAAATTAATTTACCTTTGATTGTGAACATTTTTGATTTCCCCCAATTTAGCAAAAGGGCTAAATACTGGTAAAGAGACATCAAAGCCATATCGAAAGGTGTAACTATCAAAATCAGCTCCTGCAATTAAAGCTTTTCCAGTATTAATCTCGAGAGTAGTTGAAAAATCAGGAAAAACTCCAGCTAACATATTAAAAATGAGGTGATTTACCCCATTTCCCCAACTAAAACATAATAATCAAAAAATTAACCTCACTTTTATTTTTTTTATTTATTTTTAACTTACTGTGGTAATGTGGCTAAAACTTTCGATGTTAAATTAACTCTTAATCTCTCCTGGCTTAAAGTATCAATAGCAGGAACGAATAAACAAGCCTCATAAGGATTAGCAGTGTAATATTTTGACTCAACTATAGTTTCAAGTATTGTAAAGTACTCTTTCGACATTGTTTCAGTAACAGGAATTCCTTTCTCATCGGTATATTTCTTCAAAGGATACACGTAAACCGTGATTCTATCATGACCAGTCATTCCACATTTATAGATATTAAAACAATCCCAAAAGGTACACTTCGAATTCGTCGGGGCCGCTTCATCTTGCCCATTGGTTATTATCACTTCAGGGGCTGATTTTAAATTGTACAGATTCACCTTTTTATATTTCGTCGTCCCATCTGGAAAGTCGATAAATTGTAATGAGATTGTAATAAAGGAAATAAGAAGGATTATAAAGAAGAAAATGAAAAATTTTTTGTAGAGGGTGAAATCGTGGGATGAGATTTTTAAGGGTTTTGATTTAATTGGAATGGTCATTATGATTACATTTTATAATTTAGAGGTTCAAATTGGGGGTTTTTATGGATTTAAATGAGTTTTTTTATAAGGATAAGTAAATGACGTTTGACGTCACTTTTTGAGGTTATGTTAGGTTAGGTTTAGATTTTATTTATTTAATTATTTTTTTTAATGCGTAATTAATTAATTTTGATAATTTAATATGTTTTAAATTAATTATTTTATATAAATTTATTATTATTATTATTAATTTATTTTTAGTTGTATAAGAGTTTGATGTATTGTTGGTTGCGGCTTAACCCCACTTTTTTTAAATAATTATTTTAAATTAATTTATTTTAATGTTTAATTACAAAATATTAATAATAATAATTAATTGTAGTTAAAATGTTTTTATTAATTATTGTATAAAACTTTATTATTACGGGTTAATTTATTTTTAGTTGTACAAAAGAGTTTGATGTATTGTTGGTTGCGGCTTAACCCCATTTTTTTTAAATAATTATTTTAAATTAATTCATGTTAATGTTTAATTGCAAAATAATAAGAAAAAGTTGTAGTTAAAATGTTTTTATGTTTTTATTTTTATTAGTAATTATTAATTAATTACAATTTGTTTAATACTTTTGATGCCAACGCTATTTTAGATGTGTGTACAATGTAATGCAAAAGTTAACTTTTTAAACATAATTTATGTCACAATAAATTTAAATTTTGCAATAAATTTTCTAGAAAATAACAAATACGGCTTTAAATTTCAATGAATTTAAATAAATAAAATAAAAATCACGTACGAGGAATATTTTAGATTTAAATTTAGACTTTAGTTTTTAATAAAAGGAATTAAAGTTGTTTTAATAAAAGAATTTAATCTCGCATTTTTAGTTTTTTTTTTAAAATATACAAGCAAAGGTTGTAAAATTTGGAATGTTAAGTGTTTTGAGTGCAATTAGTGTTTAAAATGCCAAGAAAACCACTTTTTTTTTTAAGTTAAACTCAAGTTGTGTCAGCAAGTTAATTTTTGAATTAAAGTTACAAAAAGAGTCATGGAAACGAATATAATTTTATCAGAAAAATCGCCGAAAAAATCGGCGAACATTTTTTCGAAAATCCTTTTTATGTGAGTCAAAAAATAAGCATTAATTTTAATCTAAATAATTTTTTTTTAACAGTTGGTTAATTGAAATAATAAAAAATGGTAATAAAAACGGATTATCCTCATTAAACGATTTATATACCCTCGATAATTCCGATAAATCATCGAATCTCGGCGATAAACTCGAAGATTTATGGTCGAAAGAATTTGAAAGTGCCAAAAAATCAAAACGAAAACCCAAATTAATGCGGGCTTTGTTAAAAATGTTTTGGAAAAACTATCTCTTTCACGGATTTTTAATGTTTCTCCATATGGGAGTTCTCCGTATTTTTCAACCGATCATAATCGCCGTATTAATCGAAATTTTCAACGAAAAGAATCAACAAAATCAATCTTTGATCATTTACGGAGCTTCTTTGGTTATATTAACCGTTTTAATCGCCTTTATTAACAATCATAGCAGTTTAAATTTAATGAAAACAGGAATGCAAGTTCGAATCGCTTGCGGATCGCTAATTTATCGCAAAGTAATTATTTAATCTTGTAGAGCACAAAAAATCCTTTAAAATGAGCCCAAACTCGATGGGGTTATCTCAAAAAACAACCGAGATATCGAAATTTAAAAAAAAAAAAACAATTGACGGTCGCGTTATTTAAAATGATCGTATCTCGTTTGTTTTTTGAGATAACCCCATCGAGTTTGGGCTCATTTTAAAGGATTTTTAACGGGGATGAAGAATTTTTATTAAAAAAGTTTAATTAATATATAGACATTAAAGTTGAGTCAATTAACTTTAAATGCACACGTTTCTGGGCAAATAATAAACATACTTTCGAATGATATGAATCGATTTGAATACGTGACGGCGGCTTTGCATGTAATTTGGATACTTCCAATTAAATTGTTGTTAATTAGTTATTTTATGTGGGATGAAATTGGAATTTCCTTTTTGTCTGGAATTTCTGGGATGATGTTAATGACGGTTTTTATACAAGGTGAGGTATTATTTGATAAATGCAGTAAAACCTCGATGTAACGGACTTAGTTAGAACGCATTAAAAATTAAAAGAATGTTTTTTGAAGTGTTTCTCAATTATAATGAAACAGAAAAAGCTTGTTGGTGTGTGTCAAAATAATATTAATCGATTGGAAACATCTTGTATATACTTGAGGAAAACGAATAAAGTTAATGGCATTAAAGGGGATGTTTTCCATAAACTTTAAAGACTTTTCTGTATGAGAAAGCTCGATTGGTGTGAGTCAAAATGGCTCTAATCGGTTAAAAATTTGATTAGGATCATTAAGGAGAAAGAGAAAATTAAAAAATAATGATTTTGATTATTTTTGAGGTGTTTCTAAGATACCAGGATATGGAAAAAAATTATTTAAGTGTGTCAAAATGGTTTTAATCGATTGGAAACACCTTGTATATACTTGAGAAAAGCGAAAAAATTTTATAACATTAAAGGGGATGCTTTGCAGAAATTTCAAAGACTTTTAAATATGAGAGAACCCGATTGGTGTGTGTCAAAATGGTTCTAATCGATTAAAAACATCACTAGAATGATTATGGAGAAATAAAAAATTAAAAAAAAATTATTTTGATGTTTTTTAAAGTGCTTCTAAGATACCAAGATGTAGAAAAAGATTATTGAAGTGTGTCAAAATGGTTTAAATCGATTGGAAACGCCTTGTATATAACATTATATACTTGAGAAAACCAAAAAAAGTTAATAACATTAAAGGGGATGCTTTCCAGAAATTGCAAAGACTTTTGAGTATGAGAGAATCCGATTGGTGTTAGTCAAAATGGCTCTAATTGGTTAAAAACAGCACTGAGATACTTAAGGAGACAGAAAAAATAGAAAAAAATGATTTTGATGTTTTTTAAAGTGTTTCTAAGATACCAGGAAATAGAAAAAACTGATTGAAGTGTGTCAAAATAGTTTTAATCGATTGGAGACGTCTTGTATATACTTAAAGATGACGAAAAAAGTTAATAACATTAAAAGGGATGTTTTCCAGAAATTTCAAAAACTTTTCAATATGAGAAAACCCGATTGGTGTGAGTCAAAATGGCTCTAATCGGTTAAAAATATCACTAGAATAATTATGGGGAATGAAAAAAAATTAAAAAAATGATTTTGATGTTTTTTAAAGTATTTCTAAGACACTGGGATGTAGAAAAAGATTATTTAAGTGTGTCAAAATGCTTTTAATCGATTGGAAACGCCTTGTATATAACATTATATACTTGAGAAAAGCAAAAAAAGTTAATAACATTAAAGGGGATGTTTTCCAGAAATTTCAAAGTCTTTTGAGTATGGCTATAATTGGCCAAAATGGCTATAATGGGTTAAAAACATCACTGAGACACTTAAGGAGAAAGAAAAAGTTGAAAAAAATGATTTTGATGTTTTTTAAAGTGCTTCTAAGATACCAGGAAATAGAAAAAGCTGATTGAAGTGTGTCAAAATAGTTTTAATCGATTGAAGACGTCTTGTATACACTTAAAGAAGGCGAGAAAAGTTAATAACATGAAAAGGGATGTTTTCCAGAGATTTCAAAGACTTTTGAATATGAGAGAACTCAATTGGTGTGAGTCTAAACGGCTCCAATCGATTAAAAACATCACTACGATAATTAAGGTGAAAGAAAAGTTTAAAAACAAATGATTTTGATGTTTTTTGAAGTGTTTATAAGATATCAGGACTTAGAAAAAGACTATTTAAGTGTGTCAAAATGGTTTTAATCGATTAGAAACACCTTGTATATACTTGAAAAAGACGAGAGAAGTTAATAACATTAAAAGGGATGTTTTCCAGATATTTCAAAGTCTCTTTAGTATGGAAAAAACTAGATTGGTGTTAGTCTAAATGGCTCCAATCGATTAAAAACATCACTACGATAATTAAGGAGAAAGAAAACTTTAAAAACAAATGATTTTGATGTTTTTTGAAATGTTTCTAAGATACCAGGAAATAGAAAAAGCTTATTGAAGTGTGTCAAAATGGTTTTAATCGATTGGAAACACCTTGTGTATACTTGAGGTAGACGAAAAAAGTTAATAACATTAAGAGGGATGTTTTCCAGATATCTCAAAGTCTTTTTAGTATGAAGAAACTCGGTTTGGTGTGAGTCTAAACGGCACCAATCGATTAAAAACATCACTACGATAATTAAGGTGAAAAAAAACTTTAACAACAAATGATTTTGATGTTTTTTAAAGTGTTTCTAAGACACCAGGAAATAGAAAAAGCTTATTGAAGTGTGTCAAAATGGTTTTAATCGATTGGAAACACCTTGTGTATACTTGAGGAAGACGAAAAATGTTAATAACATTAAGAGGGATGTTTTCCAGATATCTCAAAGTCTTTTTAGTATGAAGAAACTCGGTTTGGTGTGAGTCTAAACGGCACCAATCGATTAAAAACATCACTACGATAATTAAGGTGAAAGAAAACTTTAACAACAAATGGTTTTGATGTTTTTTGAAGTGTTTCTAACATACCAGGAAATAGAAAAAGCTAATTGAAGTGTGTCAAAATGGTTTTAATCGATTAGAAACACTTTGTATATACTTGCAAAAAGCGAAAAAAGGTAATAACATTAAAAGGAATGTTTTCCATAAATTTGAAAGACTTTTAAATTTGAGGGAAATCGATTAGTGTGCGTCAAAATGGTTCCAATCCATTATAAACATCACTAAAAGAAGTAAAAAGAAAAAAAAAATTAAAAAAAAATGATTTTGATGTTTTTTGAAGTATTTCTAAGATAGCAGGAAATACAAAAAACTTATTGGTGTGTGTCAAAATAATATTAATTGATTGGAAACATCTTGTATATACTTGATAAAAGCGAAAAAACATTTCGGACACTTCCTTTCTCTGATTTTAATGCGTTTCATCGAGGTTTTATTGTATTTTTTTTTAAATAATCCTTTTATAAGCAATTTTTTAGGTTGCTCGGGAAAATTATCATCATATTTTCGGAAAAAAACCGTAATTAGAACCGAAAATCGTTTAAATTTACTGAAAGAGTTCTTAGCTGGTATCGTAACGATAAAAATGTCATCTTGGGAGACGCCGTTTAAAAAATTATTAGTTAATTCTCGAATTAAAGAATCAAAATTTTTAATTTTTACGTCATACATGACTGCGTTATATGAAACTTGTATTTTAATCGTGGAAAAAGTAGCCTCTTATTTTACACTAACCTGTTATTACTTCTTGGGGCATCAAATAACATCAGATAAAGTGTTTTTCTTATCGCAATGCCACAACGTTTTGCAAATGTCCATGGCGGTTTTCTTTCCAATGGCGGTTCAATTAGGTGCTGAATGTAAAGTGTCTATTAAAAACATAGAAGAAATTTTAATGTTAGATTCCAACCAAGAAAGTGCCGAAAAAATCGACAGTTACAAAGAAATTAAAAACACAAAAAAATTAAATAACCCAAAAATAATTTTAAAAAATGTTTCAACAAACTCAAACGGATTTACATTAAAAAACATCAACTTGGAAATAAATCCAGGGGAATTAATTGCGATAATCGGCCCGGTTGGATCCGGGAAAACAACGTTATTAAATTTATTTCTAAAAGAACTCACCCCCAAAGAAGGTGAGGTAGAAATTCCCGAAAATATTTCATTTTGTTCTCAAACCCCATGGCTGTTTAATTCATCAATTAAAAAAAACATCATTTTTAACCAACAATTCGACAAAACGCGTTACCAACAAATCTTAAAATTAACAACATTAAACAAAGACATCGAAAACCAAAGTAATCGAGATAACACTTTCGTCGGAGAAAAAGGGATGTTTTTAAGCGGTGGCCAAAAATCAAGAGTTAATTTAGCCAGATCTATTTATAAAGAATCGGATCTTTACATTTTTGACGATCCATTTTCAGCTTTGGACGCGCAACTTGCAAAAAGCGTGTTTGAAAAGTGCGTTTTAAAATTTTTAAGGGGCAAAACACGCATTGTTGTTACGCACAATTTGGAGATTTTGAAAGATTTTGATAAAATTGTTATTATGAGTGAGGTACGATAAATAATTTAATTATTATTAATGTTATTAATTTGCAATTAATTTTAGGGTGGAATAGAAACTCAAGGAAATTACTCGGATTTATTAGCATCGAGAAACGATTATTTAATTTCTTCTTTACAAACTTTAAGGAGGCGATCTACTATTATAGATATCGATGTTAAGATGAGCAGAAGAAAACCATCACTAATTTCGAGGCTATCATCTTTATCGCTTTTGGTAAGAGCTTTTTAAGAAATATATATCATGAAAATTAAAAAAAAAATATTTGGATGATTTTTGAAATCGTTTCAAATGTGCCAATAGCAGGAAATAAAAAAAACTTGTTGGTGTGTGTCAAAGTAATATTAATAGATTGGAAACATCTTGTATATACTTGATAAAAGCGAAAAAACATTTCGGACACTTCCTTTCTCTGATTTTAATGCGTTTCATCGAGGTTTTATTGTATTTTTTTTTAAATAATCCTTTTATAAGCAATTTTTTAGGTTGCTCGGGAAAATTATCATCATATTTTCGGAAAAAAACCGTAATTAGAACCGAAAATCGTTTAAATTTACTGAAAGAGTTCTTAGCTGGTATCGTAACGATAAAAATGTCATCTTGGGAGACGCCGTTTAAAAAATTATTAGTTAATTCTCGAATTAAAGAATCAAAATTTTTAATTTTTACGTCATACATGACTGCGTTATATGAAACTTGTATTTTAATCGTGGAAAAAGTAGCCTCTTATTTTACACTAACCTGTTATTACTTCTTGGGGCATCAAATAACATCAGATAAAGTGTTTTTCTTATCGCAATGCCACAACGTTTTGCAAATGTCCATGGCGGTTTTCTTTCCAATGGCGGTTCAATTAGGTGCTGAATGTAAAGTGTCTATTAAAAACATAGAAGAAATTTTAATGTTAGATTCCAACCAAGAAAGTGCCGAAAAAATCGACAGTTACAAAGAAATTAAAAACACAAAAAAATTAAATAACCCAAAAATAATTTTAAAAAATGTTTCAACAAACTCAAACGGATTTACATTAAAAAACATCAACTTGGAAATAAATCCAGGGGAATTAATTGCGATAATCGGCCCGGTTGGATCCGGGAAAACAACGTTATTAAATTTATTTCTAAAAGAACTCACCCCCAAAGAAGGTGAGGTAGAAATTCCCGAAAATATTTCATTTTGTTCTCAAACCCCATGGCTGTTTAATTCATCAATTAAAAAAAACATCATTTTTAACCAACAATTCGACAAAACGCGTTACCAACAAATCTTAAAATTAACAACATTAAACAAAGACATCGAAAACCAAAGTAATCGAGATAACACTTTCGTCGGAGAAAAAGGGATGTTTTTAAGCGGTGGCCAAAAATCAAGAGTTAATTTAGCCAGATCTATTTATAAAGAATCGGATCTTTACATTTTTGACGATCCATTTTCAGCTTTGGACGCGCAACTTGCAAAAAGCGTGTTTGAAAAGTGCGTTTTAAAATTTTTAAGGGGCAAAACACGCATTGTTGTTACGCACAATTTGGAGATTTTGAAAGATTTTGATAAAATTGTTATTATGAGTGAGGTACGATAAATAATTTAATTATTATTAATGTTATTAATTTGCAATTAATTTTAGGGTGGAATAGAAACTCAAGGAAATTACTCGGATTTATTAGCATCGAGAAACGATTATTTAATTTCTTCTTTACAAACTTTAAGGAGGCGATCTACTATTATAGATATCGATGTTAAGATGAGCAGAAGAAAACCATCACTAATTTCGAGGCTATCATCTTTATCGCTTTTGGTAAGAGCTTTTTAAGAAATATATATCATGAAAATTAAAAAAAAAATATTTGGATGATTTTTGAAATCGTTTCAAATGTGCCAAGAAACAGAAAAAGCTTCTTGGTGTGTGTCAAAATGATATTAATCGATTGGAAACACATTGTATATACTTGAAGAAAAAGAAAGAAGTTAATAACATTAAAGGGGATGTTTTCCAGAAAGTTCAAAGATTTTTGAATATGAGAAAACCCGATTGGTGTTAGTCAAAATGGCTATAATTGGTTAAAAACATCACTAAGATACTTAAAGAGAAAGAAAAAGTTGAAAAAAATGATTTTGATGTTTCTTGAAGTGTTTATAAGTCACCAGGAAATAGAAAAAGCTTATTGAAGTGTGTCAAAATGGTTCTAATTGATTGGAAGCTCCTTTTATATACTTGAGAAAAGCGAAATAAATTAATAACATTAAAGAGGATGTTTTTCAGAAATGTCAAAAGGTTTGAATATGAGAAATTTTGATTTTTGAAACTGTTTCAAATGTGCTAGGAAATACAAAAAGCTTATTGGTGTGTGCCAAAATGGTTCTAATCGATTAAATACATCTCTAGAATAGTTACGGAGGATGAAAGAATTAAAAAAAACTGATTTTTATGTTTTTGAAATTGTTTTATATGTACAGGGTGTCCAAATTTCGATGGGTTTGCAGGCTATCTCAGTTATTATGAAAGATAGAAAGTTAAAACTGAGCTACTTTTTTGTGAAACTTACAATGGCGCAAACCAAATTTTCATAGCCCTATTCGTTTTTGATATACAGGGAGTGTTTGAAATTTACGATTTTCAGACACCTCCTGTATCTCGGCTCTCCGAAAACTTAGTAAAAAGTAAAAACGGGTTCTAATAGATTTTTTCACGTGGAATCCAACGGTGCACGTAGAATTTTTCTAGTCATCACGGCTTTTGAGTTATAAACACAACTCAAATACTGAATACTCAACTTCTAAAATATTTAACTCTTTATAACTCAAAAACCGTGATGACTAGAAAAATTCTACGTGCACCATTGGATTCTACGCGAAAAAATCTATTAGAACCCGTTTTTACTTTTTTACTAAGTTTTCGGAGAGCCGAGATACAGGAGGTGTCTGAAAATCGTAAATTTCAAACACTCCCTGTATATCAAAAACGAAGAGGGCTATGCAAGTTTCACAAAAAAAGTAGCTCAGGTTCGCGAAAGCCGCAACTTTCTATCTTTCATAATAACTGAGATACCATGCAAACCCATCGAAATTTGAACACCCTGTACAAGGAAACTGAAAAAGCTTATTGATGTGTGTCAAAATGGTTCTAGGCGATTAAATACATCTCTAGAAAAGCTGAGGAAGATGAAAATATTAAAAAAAAAAGATTTTAATACTTTTTGAAATTGTTTCAAATGTGTCAGGAAATAGAAAAAGCTTATTGGTGTGTGTCAAAATGGTTCTAATCGATTAAATACATCTCTAGAACAGTTAAGGAGGATGAAAGAATTAAGGAAATTGATTTTAATGTTTTTTGAAGTTGTTTCAAAAATGCCAGGAAATATAAAAAGGTTGTTTGTATGTGTCAAAATGGTTCTAAGCAATTAAAAACATCTCTAGAATAGCTGAGGAAGATGAAAAAATTAAAAAAAAATATTTTAACGCGTTTTGAAATTGTTTCATACGTGCCAGGAAATACAAAAAGCTTAATGGTGTGTGTCAAAATGGTTCTAATCGATTGAAAACATCTCTAGAACAGTTAAGGAGGATGAAAGAATTAATAAAATTGATTTTGATGTTTTTTGAAGTTGTTTCAATTGTGCCAGAAAATACAAAAAGCTTGTTGGTGTGTGTCAAAATTGTTCTAAGGGATTAAAAATATCTCTAGAATAGCTGAGGAATATGAACAAATTAAGAGAATTGATTTTAATGCTTTTTGAAATTGTTTCGAATGTGTCAGAAAGTAGAATAAGCTTATTGGTGTGTGTCAAAGTGGTTCTAATCGATTAAAAACATCTCTAGAACAGTTACGGAGGATGAAAGAATTAAAAAAACTGATTTTTATGTTGTTGAAATTGTTTCATATGTACAAGGAAACAGAAAAAGGTTTATATTTTTGAATATTTCTGTACATTGATGCATCTGAGAGCAAAAGTGTCAGAAAAAGCTTATTGGTGTTTGTCGAAATTACTCTAATCAATTAAAAACATCTGTAGAACATTTAAGCAGGATGAAAGAATTAAAAATGTGCTTTTGATGTTTTTTGAAGTTGTTTCAAATGTGTCAGGAAATACAAAAAGCTTACTGGTGTGTGTCAAAATGGTTCTAGCCGATTAAAAACACCTCTAGAAAAGCTGAGGAAGATGAAAAAATTAAAAAATATGATTTTAATGCTTTTTGAAATTGTTTCAAATGTGTCAAGAAATAGAAAAAGCTTTATATTTTCGAATATTTCTCTGCAGTGATGCATCTGACTGCAAAAGTGTCAGAAAAAGCTTATTGGTGTTTGTCGAAATGACTCTAATCAATTAAAAACATCTCTAGAATATTTAAGCAGCATGAAAGAATTATAAAAACTGCTTTTGATGTTTTTGAAGTTGTTTCAAATGTGTCAGAAAATACAAAAAGCTTGCTGGTGTGTGTCAAAATGGTTCTAGACGATTAAAAACATCTCTAGAAAAGCTAAGGAAGATGAAAAAATTAAAAAAAAAAGATTTTAATGCTTTTTGAAATTGTTTCAAATGTGTTAGGAAATAGAAAAAGCTTTATATTTTCGAATATTTACCTACATTGATGCATTTGAGAGCAAAAATGTTAGAGAGTAAAGTGTTAAGGGTACAATTTGCAACAACTTTTCTTCTAAAAGATTTTCTGTATTATGTTCTGAATACCGATTTTCTTTTATACTCTTCTAATTTTCATATTTTCGAATATTTCTCTACATTGATGTCAAAATGGTTCTAATCGATTAAATACATCACTAGAACAGTTAAGGAGGCTGATAGAATTAAGAAAACTGGTTTTGATGTTTATTGAAGTTGTTTCAAATGTACCAGGAAACAGAAAAAGCTTATTGATGTATGTCAAAATGACTCTAATCAATTAAAAACATCTCTAGAACAATTAAGCAGTATGAAAGAATTAAAGAAACTGCTTTTGATGTTTTTTGAAGTTGTTTCAAATGTGTCAGGAAATACAAAAAGCTTGCTGGTGTGTGTCAAAATGGTTCTAGGCGATTAAAAATATCTCTAGAAAAGCTGAGGATGATGAAAAAATTGAAAAATATGATTTTACTGCTTTTTGAAATTGTTTCAAATGTGTCAGGAAATAGAAAAAGCTTTATATTTTCGAATATTTCTCTATATTGATGTCAAAATGTTTCTAATCGATTAAATACACCTCTAGAACAGTTAAGGATGAAAGAATTAAAAAAACTGCTTTTGATGTTTTTTGAAGTTGTTTCAAATGTGTCAGGAAATACAAAAAGCTTGCAGGTGTGTGTCAAAATGGTTCTAGACGATTAAAAATATCTCTAGAAAAGCTGAGGATGATGAAAAAATTAAAAAATATGATTTTACTGCTTTTTGAAATTGTTTCAAATGTGCCAGGAAATAGAAAAAGCTTATTGGTGTGTGTCAAAATGGTTCTAATCGATTAAATACATCTCTAGAACAGTTAAGGAGGATGAAAGAATTAAGATCACTGATTTTGATGTATTATGAAATTGTTTCAAATGTACTAGGAAACATAAAAAGCTTATTGGTGTGTGTCAAAATTGTTCTAGACGATTAAAAACATCTCTAGAATATTAATTAAAAGAATTAATTAAATTTAGCCAAATTATTTTTTGTTTTATCTTAAATAAAAATAGACTTAATTGTTTCAGAGCACCTTATCTGAAACTCAAGAAGACCTCGATGAAAAAACCACAAAAGAAGTAACACTAAAACAAGGATTTTTACCATATAAAGAATATTTAAAATCAACGGGAGGATTTATTCCAATAACAATTTTGGCATTCTTAATGATTTCGGCTCAAATTTCAAGTAGTTTGTTTGATTATTTCATAACAATTTGGTAATTAAGTTAATAAATTTAACAAATTAATAAATAACTTAATCTAAATTTATTGTTTTAGGGCAAATTCGTCTTACTCAATCATCTCAAAAACCGATTTCACCTACTTTTACATCTTTACCTTTTCAATCCTTCTCCTAACACTTTTAACAACAATACGATCGTTTTATTTCTTTAAACTATCCACAACAGCCGCAAATAACCTTCACACCTCATCAATTGAAGCGTTATCAAAAACTTCGATTCAATTTTATGATGAAACCCCATCGGGAAGAATTTTAAATCGTTTTTCGAAAGATGTAGCAACAATTGATACCATTTTACCTAGGGTTGTAATCGAATCATTACAATTTTTTTTACAAACAATTGGGATTATGGTTATTATTTGTTTGTGTAATTATTATTTGGTTGTTGCGGTCGTTGTAATTTTTGGGATGTTTGTGAAATTTCCCGTTTGGTATTTGGGAACTTCCAGAAAAATTAAGCATTTAGAAGGGATTGCAAAAAGTCCGATTTTATCGCATTTAGCTACTACTTTAGATGGAATCGTAACTATAAGAACTTTTAGAAGTGAGAGGGAAGTTGTGAATCAATTTGATGGACACCAAGTTAATTTTTTATCTTTTTTTTTGTATCAAATTAATTATAAATTAATTTTAGGATGTTCATACATCAGCAATGGTCTTAATGTTAACTTGCTTGAACGCGTTTAATTTATGGTTGGATTTATTGGCGGTGATTTTTGTATTTTTCATCGTTTTTGGATTTATTATTTTATCTCAAGGTTTATTAATCATTATAAATTAAAATTAGAACTAACACTAACGCTATTTTGGTTTCTGGTGTATTTTTGATAACTTCAAAAACTATTTTTTTATGCTTTAATCTTCCTTAAGTATTCTAGAGGTGTTTTTAATCGATTAGAACCATTTTGACACACACCAATAAGCTTTTTCTATTTCCTGGTATCATAGAAGTACTTCAAAAAACATCAAAATCGTCGTTTTTTTACTTTTTTCTTTCTCCTTAACTATTCCAGTGACGTTTTTAATCGATTAGAGCCATTTTGACTCATACCAATCGGATTCTCTCATATTCAAAATTTTTCAGTAAATTTAAACGATTTTCGGTTCTAATTACGGTTTTTTTCGAAAATATGATGATAATTTTCCCGAGCAACCTAAAAAATTGCTTAAAAAAGGTATATTCAAAACAAAATTGCAATAAAACCTCGACTTAAACGGATTAATACGGGAAAGGAAGTGTCCGAAATGTTTTTTCGCTTTTATCAAGTATATAAAAGGTGTTTCCAATCTATTAATATTATTTTGACACACACCAACAAGTTTTTTTTATTTCCTGCTATCTTAGAAACACTTCAAAAAACATCAAAATCAATTTTTTTTGATTTTTTCTTTCTTTTTACTTCCTTTAGTGATGTTTATAATGGATTGGAACCATTTTGACGCACACTAATCGATTTCCCTCAAATTTAAAAGTCTTTGAAATTTATGGAAAACATTCCTTTTAATGTTATTATCTTTTTTCGCTTTTTGCAAGTATATACAAAGTGTTTCCAATCGATTACAACCATTTTGGCACACTTCAATAAGCTTTTTCTATTTCCTGATGTCTTAGAAACACTTCAAAAAACATCAAAATCATTTGTTGTTAAAGTTTTTTTTTCACCTTAATTATCGTAGTGATGTTTTTAATCGATTGGAGCTATTTAGACTAACACCAATCTAGTTTTTTCATACTAAAGAGACTTTGAAATATCTGGAAAACATCCCTTTTAATGTTATTAACTTCTCTCGTCTTTTTCAAGTATATACAAGGTGTTTCTAATCGATTAAAACCATTTTGACACACTTAAATAGTCTTTTTCTATGTCCTGGTGTCTTAGAAACACTTCAAAAAACATCAAAATCATTTGTTTTTAAAGTTTTCTTTCTCCTTAATTATCGTAGTGATGTTTTTAATCGATTGGAACCGTTTAGACTAACACCAATCTAGTTTTTTTCATACTAAAGAGACTTTGAAATATCTGGAAAACATCCCTTTTAATATTATTAACTTCTCTCGTCTTTTTCAAGTATATACAAGGTGTTTCTAATCGATTAAAACCATTTTGACACACTTAAATAGTCTTTTTCTATGTCCTGGTGTCTTAGAAACACTTCAAAAAACATCAAAATCATTTGTTTTTAAAGTTTTCTTTCTCCTTAATTATCGTAGTGATGTTTTTAATCGATTGGAGCCATTTAGACTCACACCAATTGGGTTCTCTCATATTCAAAAGTCTTTGAAATCTCTGGAAAACATCCCTTTTCATGTTATTAACTTTTCTCGCCTTCTTTAAGTGTATACAAGACGTCTTCAATCGATTAAAACTATTTTGACACACTTCAATCAGCTTTTTCTATTTCCTTGTATCTTAGAAGCACTTTAAAAAACATCAAAATCATTTTTTTCAACTTTTTCTTTCTCCTTAAGTATCTCAGTGATGTTTTTAACCCATTATAGCCATTTTGGCCAATTATAGCCATACTCAAAAGACTTTGAAATTTCTGGAAAACATCCCCTTTAATGTTATTAACTTTTTTTGGTTTTCTCAAGTATATAATGTTATATACAAGGTGTTTCCAATCCATTAAAACCATTTTGACACACTTAAATAATCTTTTTTTACATCCTGGTATCTTAGAAACACTTTAAAAAACATCAAAATCATTTTTTTTTAATTTTTTCATTCTCCATAATTATTCTAGTGATATTTTTAACCGATTAGAGCCATTTTGACTCACACCAATTGGGTTCTCTCATATTCAAAAGTCTTTGAAATTTCTGGAAAACATCCCCTTTAATGTTATTAACTTTTCTCGCCTTCTTTAAGTATATACAAGACGTCTTCAATCGATTAAAACTATTTTGACACACTTCAATCAGCTTTTTCTATTTCCTTGTATCTTAGAAGCACTTTAAAAAACATCAAAATCATTTTTTTCAACTTTTTCTTTCTCCTTAAGTATCTCAGTGATGTTTTTAACCCATTATAGCCATTTTGGCCAATTATAGCCATACTCAAAAGACTTTGAAATTTCTGGAAAACATCCCCTTTAATGTTATTAACTTTTTTTGGTTTTCTCAAGTATATAATGTTATATACAAGGTGTTTCCAATCCATTAAAACCGTTTTGACACACTTAAATAATCTTTTTTTACATCCTGGTATCTTAGAAACACTTTAAAAAACATCAAAATCATTTTTTTTTAATTTTTTCATTCTCCATAATTATTCTAGTGATATTTTTAACCGATTAGAGCCATTTTGACTCACACCAATTGGGTTCTCTCATATTCAAAAGTCTTTGAAATCTCTGGAAAACATCCCTTTTAATGTTATTAACTTTTCTCGCCTTCTTTAAGTATATACAAGACGTCTTCAATCGATTAAAACTATTTTGACACACTTCAATAATCTTTTTCTACATCCTGGTATCTTAGAAGCACTTTAAAAAACATCAAAATCATTTTTTTTTAATATTTTCATTCTCCATAATTATTCTAGTGATATTTTTAACCGATTAGAGCCATTTTGACTCATACCAATCGGATTCTCTCATATTCAAAATTTTCTGGAAAACATCCCCTTCAATGTTATTAACTTTTTTCACTTTTCTCAAGTATATACAAGGTATTTCCAATCGATTAAAACCATTTTGGCACACACCAACAAGCTTTTTTTGTTTCCTTACATCTTAGAAACACCTTTAGACAATAATTTTGCTTGTACTTCAATTAATACCGGCCATAAAAATCTTAATAATCATATTTATATGAGATTTCGTTTTAGTAACATCAATAAATGGAAGTTTTGTTGGTTTGGCTATAACCCAAGGAATGATTTTAACGCGAATCGCTCAACACGGTGTTCGGCAAACAACGGAAGTAATCAATCAGATAACTTCAGTTGAAAGAATCGTTGAGTACAAAACTTTACCTCCGGAAAGAACTAAACTTGATTCAAAAAAATTTGATGATTGGCCAAAAAAGGGCCAAATCGAATTTAAAGATGTTTCATTAAAATATTCCGAATTCGATGGAAACATTTTGAAACATTTAAATTTCTTAGTTAATCACCAAGAAAAAATTGGAATCGTTGGGAGATCAGGAGCTGGAAAATCTTCAATCATTTCTGCAATTTTTCGAATGGCAAAAATCGAGGGATCGATTAAAATCGATGAAATCAATACAGAAAGTATCCCTTTAAACGTTCTTAGGGATAAAATCTCAATAATTCCTCAAGAACCAGCCTTATTCTCAGCTTCGGTAAGATTTAATTTAGATCCTTGGAATAAATACGAAGATTCGCAAATTTGGAACGCCTTAAACGAGGTCGACTTAAAAGGTTTAATCAGCAACTTAGACGTGGAAATTGAAAATGCTGGTTCAAATTTGAGCATGGGCCAAAAACAACAGATCTGTTTGGCCAGGGTGATTTTGAGAAACAATAAAATTTTAATCATGGATGAAGCCACCGCGAATATGGACACTAAAACCGATGATTTAATCCAAAAAACGATTAAGAAACATTTCAAACATTGCACGATTCTCACTGTGGCTCATCGATTAGAGACGATAATCGATTCAAATCGGGTTATGGTGTTATCTTTTGGGCATCTCGAAGAGATGGATCATCCTTATTTATTGTTGCAAAATAAAAATAGTTCGTTTTATAAGTTAGCTTATGAATGCGGCCCGATTAATTTAAAAGAATTAATCGATATTAGTTCGAAATCGTTTCAACTCAAATAAAATTTCAATATAAATTTAATTCTTTTATTTAAATAAACCTATTTTTGCATTTCTTAGTGAATAATGATACTGGCAGAAAAATAGGTACTTTCTGCAAAAGACTGCAGAAGATTATATGAAGCAGAAGACTAGATACTACTGGCAGAAGACTACATATTGCTAACAGAAGACGAGAAACTGCTGGCAGAAGATTAGAAACTGTAAGAAGAAGACTTGATACTGTTTGCAGAAGACTAGATACTGCTGGCAGAAGAATGGGGATAATTAGTAGAAGACTAGATATTACTGGCAGAAGACATACTGACGGAAGGGCTTCCAAAATACTTGATGAAGGAGGAGAGTGAGGATGGGAAAAGGCTGATGACCAGATTTCGTTGTGGTAATGAGAAGAGAAACATGGAAAACAACTGAGGGAGAAAGAAAGAAACCGGTGGCAGATTTTGGAAGAGTTTTAGTACTTGAAAATTAGATACTGGTGGAAAAAAAGTAGTTATTCTTTATAGAAGACTACATGATGCTTGTAGAAGACTAGATACTGCTGGGCGAAGAATAGATACTTCTTGCAGAAGACTACATATTGCTAATACAAGACGAAATACTGCCGGCAGAAAACTATATATTGCTAATAGAAGACGGGATAGACTCCTTGAACCTGCATTACATACTAAAAATATCGTGTAGGTTTTTGGTGCATTTAGTACAGAGGATTTTAAATGTAAGGAGTAAGTAATTCAAATGTAATATAAGTAGATAATGCACCAAAACTGTGTAGAGAAAACCAGAACAAATTCTAAATGTCCAACAAGTGAAAACAAAAAATCTGCCTGAAAATAGACTATAAGACTACATATTGTTAGTAGAAGACGTAATACTGGTGGCAGAAGACTATACATTTCTAATAGAAAGCGACACACTGCTTGCAGAAAGCTAGATACTGCTGGCAGAAGATTAGATGCTGCCGGAAGAAGACTAGATACTCCTTGCGGAAGATTATATGAGTCAGAAGAGTAGATATTGTTGGCAGAAGACTACATATTGGTCATGGAAGACCAGATACTGTTGGCAAAAGACTACAAGTTGCTAATAGAAGGACTAGATGCTCATTTTAAAGATCGATATCTTCGCAACCGCTTGATAAAAAAAATTGCGGTACAATTTGTTAAAATCACTGAACATTTCTACATAACATATGTTAATTTGAAAATTTTCAGCTCCGCGGTTTTCTTTTTATCGCGAGTTAAATGAGAAAAGTACTCGATTTACTATCTGACGAAAAATTTTCAATTTTGATTTGATGGCAGCCTGATGTGTTCTTAATAAGGGGTATATTTTATTTTTTTGGTATTCTGTACAGTATCGCGGATAAGTTATCAGTTCTTCAAAGGAATTGTAATTGCAGAAATTACAATTATATGAATTATATGAATCAGAAGACAAGATATTGCTGGCAGAAGATTACATATTGCTAATAGAAGATGAGATAGTGCTGACAGAAGACTACAAATAATTAATTGAAGACTCACTGCAAAAGATTACATTTATTAGAAGATGAGATGCTACTTGCAAAAGATTAGATACTGCCGGAAGAAGACTAGATACGTCTTACAGAAGATTATATGAATCGAAAGACTAGAAACTGTTTGCAGAAGACTAGATACTGCTGGGAGAAGACTACATATTGCTAATAGTAGACGAAATACTGCTGACAGAAGATTATACATTGCTAATAGAAGACTAGATACTCCTTGCAGAAGATTATATAAATTAGATACTGCTAAATTGAAATGAAAGACGTATGTTCAACGATAAATATAAGTTTTTTATTTAATTTAAGTGCGACATATGTTTCATCTAACAATTAGGCATCTTCAGGCACATCGTCAAGAAGTTATTCCAAGGAGTTGAAAGAAAGAAAAAGAATTCTTTCAACTTCTTGCAAACTTCTTGGCAAATCTTGCTAGATACTGCTGCCAGTAGACTCTATATTGCTAATAGAAGACGAGATCTCTAATTTGTTTAGGGCAGAATTTTAATTGCAGAAGATTATATGAATCAGGAGACTAGATACTGCTCGCAGAAGACTACATATTGCTAATAGAAGATGAGATAGTGCTGACAGAAGACTACAAATAACTAATTGAAGACTAGATGCTCCCTGCAAAAGATTACATTTATCAGAAGACGAGATACTACTTACAAAAGATTAGATACCTCCGGAAGAAGACTAAATACGTATTAGAGAAGATTATATGAATCGAAAGACTAGATACTGCTGGGAGAAGACTACATATTGCTAATAGAAGACGAAATACTGCTGGCAGAAGACTATATATTGCTAATAGAAGACGAGCTATTGCTTGCAAATGTTTAAATGCTGCGTAAGAAGACTAGATACTCCTTGCAGAAGATTATATGAATAAGATACCGCTAAATAGAAATGAAAGACGTATGTTCAACGATAAATATAAGTTTTTTATTTAATTTAAGTGCGACATATGTTTCACCTAACAATTAGGCATCTTCAGGCACATCGTCAAGAAGTTATTCCAAGAAGTTGAAAGAACTCTTTTTCTTTCTTTCAACTTCTTGGAGACAAATCTTGCTAGATACTGCTGCCAGTAGACTATATATTGCTAATAGAAGACGAGATCTCTAATTTGTTTAGGGCAGAATTTTAATTGCAGAAGATTATATGAATCAGGAGACTAGATACTGCTCGCAGAAGACTACATATTGCTAATAGAAGATGAGATAGTGCTGACAGAAGACTACAAATAACTAATTGAAGACTAGATGCTCCCTGCAAAAGATTACATTTATCAGAAGACGAGATACTACTTACAAAAGATTAGATACCTCCGGAAGAAGACTAAATACGTATTAGAGAAGATTATATGAATCGAAAGACTAGATACTGCTGGGAGAAGACTACATATTGCTAATAGAAGACGAAATACTGCTGGCAGAAGACTATATATTGCTAATAGAAGACGAGCTATTGCTTGCAAATGTTTAAATGCTGCGTAAGAAGACTAGATACTCCTTGCAGAAGATTATATGAATAAGATACCGCTAAATCGAAATGAAAGACGTATGTTCAACGATAAATATAAGTTTTTTATTTAATTTAAGTGCGACATATGTTTCACCTAACAATTAGGCATCTTCAGGCACATCGTCAAGAAGTTATTCCAAGAAGTTGAAAGAACTCTTTTTCTTTCTTTCAACTTCTTGGAGGCAAATCTTGCTAGATACTGCTGCCAGTAGACTATATATTGCTAATAGAAGACGAGATCTCTAATTTGTTTAGGACAGAATTTTAATTGCAGAAGATTATATGAATCAGAAGACTAGATACTGCTGGCAGAAGACTACATATTGCTAATAGACGATGAGATAGTGATGACAGAAGACTACAAATAACTAATTGAAGACTAGATGCTCCCTGCAAAAGATTACATTTATCTGAAGACGAGATACTACTTACAAAAGATTAGATACCTCCGGAAGAAGACTAAATACGTATTAGAGAAGATTATATGAATCAAAAGACTAGATACTGTTTGCAGAAGACTAGATACTGCTGGGAGAAGACTACATATTGCTAATAGTAGACGAAATACCGCTGACAGAAGACTATACATTGCTAATAGAAGACGAGATATTGCTTGCAAATGTTTAAATGTTGCGTAAGAAGACTAGATACTCCTTGCAGAAGATTATATAAATTAGATACTGCTAAATCGAAATGAAAGACGTATGTTCAACGATAAATATAAGTTTTTTATTTAATTTAAGTGCGACATATGTTTCACCTAACAATTAGGCATCTTCAGGCACATCGTCAAGAAGTTATTCCAAGAAGTTGAAAGAACTCTTTTTCTTTCTTTCAACTTCTTGGAGGCAAATCTTGCTAGATACTGCTGCCAGTAGACTATATATTGCTAATAGAAGACGAGATCTCTAATTTGTTTAGGACAGAATTTTAATTGCAGAAGATTATATGAATCAGAAGACTAGATACTGCTGGCAGAAGACTACATATTGCTAATAGAAGATGAGATAGTGCTGACAGAAGACTACAAATAACTAATTGAAGACTCACTGCAAAAGATTACATTTATCAGAAGATGAGATGTTACTTGCAAAAATTAGATACTGCCGGAAGAAGACTAGATACGTCTTACAGAAAATCATATGAATCGAAAGACTAGATACTGTTTGCAGAAGACTAGATACTGCTGGGAGAAGACTACATATTGCTAATAGAAGACGAAATACTGCCGGCAGAAGACTATATATTGCTAATAGAAGACGAAATATTGCTTGCAAATGTTTAAATGCTGCGTAAGAAGACTAGATACTCCTTGCAGAAGATTATATGAATAAGATACCGCTAAATTGAAAGGAAAGACGTATGTTCAACGATAAATATAAGTTTTTTATTTAATTTAAGTGCGACATATGTTTCACCTAACAATTAGGCATCTTCAGGCACATCGTCAAGAAGTTATTCCAAGAAGTTGAAAGAACTCTTTTTCTTTCTTTCAACTTCTTGGAGACAAATCTTGCTAGATACTGCTGCCAGTAGACTATATATTGCTAATAGAAGACGAGATCTCTAATTTAAGGCAGAATTTTAATTGCAGTAGATTATATGAATCAGGAGACTAGATACTGCTGGCAGAAGACTACATATTGCTAATAGAAGATGAGATAGCGCTGACAGAAGACTACAAATAACTAATTAAAGACTAGATGCTCCTTGCAAAAGATTACATTTATCAGAAGATGAGATACTACTTGCAAAAGATTAGATACCTCCGGAAGAAGACTAAATACGTATTAGAGAAGATTATATGAATCGAAAGACTAGAAAGTATTTGCAGAAGACTAGATACTGCTGGGAGAAGACTACATATTGTTAATAGAAGACGAAATACTGCTGGCAGAATCATTATATGAATCAGCAGACTAGATACTGCTAAATTGAAATGAAAAACGTATGTTTAGCGATGAATAAAAGTTTTTTATTTAATTTACGTGCGACATATGTTTCGCCTAATAATTAGGCATCTTCAGGAGTTCAACTTCTTGGAGGCAAAATTCTTCTGAAGGCAAATCTTGCTAGATACTGCTGCCAGTAAACTACATATTGCTAATAGAAGACGAGATACTGCTGGCAGAAGACTACAAAATACTAATAGAAGACAATACCTTTTCAAATTCAAATTGGCACTAATCAAATTTAAAATAGCATTAAACAAAACTAATTTGGCAACTGTCAAATTGACCAAGCGTGTTCAATTGGGTTTAGCATTGTACTGTAAGGACCTAGCCTTACAAGTTTATGACGAAGAAATTCTTGTTCTTCAAACACTTCAACACCGCAATGGCAAAGAGCATTATCAATGACTAAAGCCACTGAATATTAGCTATCTTGATCTCTGCTTAAGCATTGCTTAACAAACTCATTAGCCTCGTCTCTTTTAAATGGCACCCTTCTTAATTCATGATGAATCAATCCCAAGCTACTGATACATCCCATAAGATGCACATTTGCTCCACGAGTATCGGCAGTAATGAAAGTACAACGACTTCCTTTTTTTGAACGACTTTGACTTCGCGAGGTAATGAAATTAAAGTTTGTTTCGTCTAAATTAATTATGGGTGTGTTTTCACTTTGAAACATGAGGCCATCAAGGTGTTGGCGAATACACTCCTTGCTTACATTAAGTCAGCTTAAAGTCAGCAACTCATTTCATAATGTTTTTTGCAACTGCTTAAGTGTGACTTTAGGATTATCTTCAACTTTAAGTTCAAAGAAACAGTGTTGTTCATCTGTAATTTTTATTTTACGTTCCCTTCTCTTGATTTTTTACCCATCTGAACTATTATTTTTGCAACACCAAGAATTTCAGATAAATTGAGCCAAACAGGAGCGTAGACAGTGTTTTTGTGGACAATCATTTTGATTTTGATTAATGCCAATTTGATTATGACAGTCGCCAAATTGGTTTTGTAATGCCATTTTGAACTTAAAATGGTATAGATGCTCCCTGGAGAAGACTATTACATCAGAAGACTAAATACTACTTGCAGAAGACTAGATACTGATGGCAGAAGACTAGATACTGCTGGCAGAAGACTAGATACTGCTTGCAAAAGACTAGATACTGCTTGCAGAAGACTAGATACTGCTGGCAGAAGACTACATATTACTATTTACTGAAAAATACAAAAGTTTCGTTTGTTTTTGAATTAATTCAAAATCATTTCTCAAATAAAATTTCAATATAAATTCTTTTATATAAGCAAACCTATTTTTCATAGAAAAAATGTTTCATCGGAATGTCAACTCATTTTAAAACTTAATAATAATAATAAATTGAAAATATGTTATTTAGCTTTTGCATTTCTTATCGAATAAATGTGGCCGATAAAGTCGCAGAATTCGAACAATTCGCTTTAATATTTTCTTTAGAATTATTTTTTTTATACACTCATGGAAACTTTTCATTCGACTCAGTTTTAATGTTGAAACGATGAAAGCTACATCTCTTTTCGTAGCCTCAATTATAATCGGAAGCAATTAAGAAAGAAGATAAGATTAGATTAAAAAAAAGGTGAATAAAATAAGAAATTGTTATAAAATGGACGCTGGATATAAATTAAATAAACCGAGCCCGAAAAAAACGGCGAATGTATGTTCGAAACTTTTTTATGTGTAAGTTAGTAAAATTTTATTAAAAACATAAATAATAAATTAACTAATTCTAGGTGGCTGGTGAGTTTGTTTAGGAAAGGAATTAAAGGCAAAATTTCTTTATCCGATCTCTACACCGCTATGGATTCTGATAAATCAGAAGTTATTAGTAATAAACTCGAATATTATTGGTTCTTAGAACTGGAGAAGTCGAAAAAATCGAATCGAAAACCGAGTTTATTACGGTCAATGTGTAACGCATTTTCAGCTCATTTTATGTTGTATGGGTTATATTATTTTATTCAATTCGCACTATTACGGTAAATCAATCAACCAATAAATTCCATTTATTTAATAAAAAAAGAATTTTAGATCATTCCAACCAGTTCTCATCTCACTTTTCGTCCAAATGTTCACAACAGAAAACTTAGACAACCCCCATAAAGAATCTTACATGTACATTTATGGTTTTGGATTAGTTTTTGTAACATTGTTGGTTGCTTTCTTTCAACATCACGTTTATTTAGAACTGAGTCGCGCTGGGATGCGATGGAGAGTTGCTTGTAGCAGCTTAATTTATAGAAAGGTTGGATTAAAATAATTAAAAAAATAAATCGATTTCATTAATTTTTTTTTAGACATTAAAATTGAGCAAAAAATCGCTTTCTGCCACAGCTGGGGGCCAAATTGTAAATTTAATCTCCAATGATTTAACACGATTTGATTTTGTGGCGCCGATGTTGCACACAGCTTGGGTTATTCCAATTCAAGTTGCTATTATAACATATTTTATTTATGAGGAAGTTCAAGAATCGGCTTTTGCTGGAGTTGGTGCTATGATTTTATTAACTTTACCAGTTCAAGGTAAATATTTATTTAAATAAATATATCATTTTGATTACATTTCTACAGTGATCATCATCATTGCAAAGATGCAATCAATATCACAGTATTTTTATTGCAATACGCGATTTACGTATGATCCGTATTGCATTGTGATATTGGTTGCATACTTGCAATGATGACGTCGGGTACGATAATTAATTAATTAACACACTGTATTTGTGTGGTTTATGTATGATGGTACATCAAAACAATTTAATTCGTAAGTTTTTAAAGTCGAATCTCAGATTTGATCAGCAAAAGACTTGGAATTGCTTGCAGAAGGTTAGATACTGCTTGAAAAAGACTAAATTTGGGTTTATCATCATTAGCATGACAATCCTTTTTGAGTCTAAGCCTGTTCTAAGATCCTCTTCCATTCAGACCCATTACGCATTCTGTTACGATACTTAGTATGCATAGTGCATAGGGTTCTGATATCTTCCTCCACCTAGTCTAGATATCTCAGCTTATCTTTCTATGAAGGTTACGATGTTGGGGTTCTTGTAAACAAGGTACAGTTTGAAATTACAGTGTCTCCACCATAGGTCGTTATTTAATATTCCTCCAAATATGTCTCTCAAAATTTTCTTAGTCGAAAATCGTTCTTAATCAGTGTCCACGTTTCTGATCCGTATGTCACCACTGGATCCACATACAGCCACATACATACATACTTATACAACAGCAAAAAACATTTCGAAATCACATTAACCTAAGATTAAGGTAATAAGTCCTTGCTTCTCCCGCAAAGAAGTCCAGACCATTCTGATTCTTCACCCGTTATGGTAAATCATTAAACCACTCCGCAGCTGCTGCTGTAACACTTCTTTTCCCAATGTTTCTTGCAAGAGGCAAGATGTGTCTATTTTGGTTAGTTCTTGTATTATATGCATGCATATCGCAGTTGAGGTTAAAGTGAATGCCACTTTCCATTGGATTATTTTTGATTTTCTATATTAGCTTCCCACTATCAAGCTTAATCATCTCATGTACATTAAGCACTTTTAACTCATTATACAATGATGTAGTATTTGAGCATAGGCATAATAAATAGAAAATCTCGTTTTAATATTGACCATTACGTTTTAGATGATAGCTCATACCACTTAACTTCTTTTGTGTTAATTTTATATGCTATTCAAACGTTAATCTGTTATCTAAGACAATAGGTACTATTTGTAACTTCACTCAAGTTAATACCAGTGGTTATAAGTTTATGACTTTTCATAGTGGCCTTTTTGTTAAAGTCATATCGCTGTTTAATTTAATATTATTTTCATCTACCCAAGAGCAAACATTGTCCAGATCACACATCAGTAAAGACAGAGTCTATAGACCCGCTGTGGAACAAAACAGCAACACCCGCTTACAAGGCAAGATCACCATGCATACAACAATTAGTTATATCATTTATATATATATATTTAAAAAAGGGACCGACGATCCCTGGGGTACTCCATACTTTATATGAGTCCTGCTGCTACTAGTATTATTGTAAAGTGTCCTGCTTTCTATTCCTTAAATAATTTTTAAAAACTCTCAGTGATGGTCCCAAAGCTTCGAGCTTACTAAGCAGTATAGCATGGTCAACCACATCAAACGTCTTACACAAGTCCAGGAAAACAGCCAAAATAGTTTTGCTCTCATTGAGATTTCAATAAACAAATTCCAACAATGTTATAATAGCAGTCTGTGTGCTCTTACCGCGTATGAAACCATGCTGCTCACAAGTTTGAAAACCAATCGTATTCAAATGGAACACTTTTTAAAATTGATTCAAATATTTTGGCAAAGACCGACAGCATAGATATTGGTTTATAGTTCTCCGGAAGTTTTTATGCACTGGAGTTATTCCTATCTTTAGGATATCGGGAAATTGACCAAATTTTATTTCTCTATTGATAATACTTGATAAAACAGGTGACAAAACTCCTTTCAGTACTTTTGGTTTTATATCGTCATCATTCTTTTCTATATTATCAATTATTATGCTCAATTTCATCTGCAGTTGTAAGCTTAATGTACATTGAGGAATCTATCCCATAATCCAAGCTGATATTGGCGGTCGGCTTTCCCGCAAGCAACCTGTCTACACTAAAGGTGAAGTGGTCATTCAGAACATTAGAAATTTCCCTGCATCTCCCTTACTGCTTACAATCTTAGGAATCCGTTTATTTTCTATATCAATCGACAGGGCATTCTTAATAATACACCACTACTTGCTCGGGCATCCATCAGTATTCTGAAATTTTTTTATCTATATGTTCCTTTTAATAAGGTTTTTGACTTCTTTCCGTAATTTGACAAAATGACACCAGTATAATTCATTTCCAGCAAAACGCTTCGTCCTAATATACGCTTTATCTCTTTCTTTCATTTTATTCTTATCTGCTGTAGTGAACTATCCCTCACTTATATTTGTTGTTGTACGTCTTACTTTCCTTCTTACTTCGAATTTTGGAGCTTGAAAGTATCCATTTCAGTTTTCGGTTTGTCTAAAGTTCAACACAATTTCAACATTTTGCTTTAAGGCATCGTAGTTTACTATTTTTGATCCATACGACTGCTTTGTTACCTTAGTCATTATTTCTATTGTAAGTTTTATGTCTATCAATTTATGGTCAGAGAAGAAATGATCAAACATATTAACATCGTAACTGTAGTGCTGTTTAAAGTTAGTAAAAATATGATCCAATATAGATTTTGTTCTTGTTCGCTGATCAATTCTAGTGGAATTTAATTCACTTAGGTATTTTGTTCAAAATTTAGATATTAAGTGTCTGACTAGAAGTAAACTATTTCACACCCTCGATGTTGTAGTCTGCGATTGTTGCGTTTTTAGATTGTCTTGGGCTATTGGTGTGCGTGTATTTTGCCTTTGTTGGGGTAATTTTTAAACTACTCACGATCAGTTGTGCTGCTCTTTCTATAAAATTGACTGTTTCGACCATATCTCTTTTTGATCTTGCGATTATATCCACGTCGCGTCGTCTGGAAAAGCCAATATTTATACACTCTTGCTCATGATTAAGTAAGAGTGTGTCTCAAGGGTGATGAAAAGGGTTGAAAAGTATGCAAGACAGTGCTGCTCCCTGTCGTAGACCTCTTCTTACTTTAAAATGTTGTGTCGTCTCATTCTGAATTCTCTCTTTGCTTCCCACCCTCAGTGTCTCCCTTATTAGTAAGATATGGTCCATAGATATGTTGAGATCCTTCATAGCCTGTATTAGATATTCTCTAGATATGCTATCGTAGCCGCTCTCAAAGTCGATGACGGTGGGTTTCGATCTTGAATTCTCTAGTTTTCTCAAGAATAGCACAAATATTTGATCAATTATTGATTTTTGACTGTGGAATCTGCATTGATAGCCGCCTATAGTCCACTTGGCATATGGTTTTAGCCGTTGAGAGACGACGTTAGACAGTATTTTGTATGCCGTTCCTTGGCCTATTCTAAGAATATTGTGTCCTATGATGCTTTCTGAAAAACCCCTTTATTTCGAAGACAGTAACAACATTTTATTATCAAAAAGTACATGTAAAGTTGCTCGATCTACAATAAATGTTCGAAATGACTTCCTTCAACCTCAATACAAGCATTCAATCTTCTCGTCATTTAGTGCCGAACTCTTTCAAACACACCAGGGTCGTTTCTAATTGAGTTACACCCAACAATTATCCGATTTCGCAAATCGTCAAAATTCTCCACTGGAGTAGCGTAAACTAATGACTTCAGAGATTCCCAGAAAAAATAATCCAGCGGGTTTAAGTCTGGGGATCGAGCAGGCTATGCCTGTAGTCGACCTCGACCAATCTAGCGATTTCCATATGTTACTGTTAAAAATTACGAGCAAACAAACTGAAATGTGGTCCATCGTGCATAAACCACATTGCAATTCTAGTCGCGTATGGTACATCCTCCAGAAACTCAGGCAGCGTTTCTGCCAAAAAGTTGTGATACACCAAGCACGCCAGTAAGTCTTCCTGGTAGAAATACCGGTCCAATTAGATAATCATCCACAAATCCAACCCAAACATTCAAGGAGAATTGATATTGAAAATTCTTTATTGTATTTCTTAAGAAACTGGCTTCATCGGTAAAAAGAATCTGTGTCAGGAATAGAGGGATACAAATTAATGTTTGCAATATCCATTTACATAATGCAATACGTGGAGGAAAATCAGAAGGTAGTAGTGCTTGAACGTTATTGTCCTTAAGAATTTTCCAAACTGTCCAATGACTTACATTCAAAGTATTTGCAATTCTTCGCGTAGAACTTCCAGGATCTTCCTCTATCATGTCCAGCACATTCTGTTCCAATTGCACCCTTCTTGCAGCCATTGGCCCTCCACTTCGTTTTAATGAGCCTGTTTCACGAAGATGTCTATGAGTGTTTTCGAAGATTTTTCAATTGCCATCAGCAAGTCCATACATAAAATGCATGTCAATGATCTCGGCGTTCGTATAAATCATAATAGAGTGCTACACTAACTGTTAATGACACGTCAAACAGTCAAACGTCACTCAATCTAAACAAATACGATTGATGAGACGTATTTAAGTACTTGATAAACTCATTGACGTACGCCATAGTTTTATTTTCATTAATAATTTCAACAAATATCGAATATGGTTGTCGTAAATTTTGTTCGCCCTGTATCTTCGAAACAAAGTGGTTTTTCGAAAATCATCATAGGACACAATATTCTTAGAATAGGACAAGGAATAACCCCTTGAATTTTTGCCGCATGTTTACTTAACACCCTGTATACATAATAACAGTAATTTCTTAATGTCAAAACCAAGGACGTCAAAATTGCTTTTAAAACTAAATACGTTTCCATGGTTACCAATAGGTTATGTTTTAAAAAAATAGTTTTCAAAGAAATTAGAAAAAAAGTAGCCAACGAAGAAAAAGAATTAATAATTATAATGCTAGAATACTTACTTAATTGTTATAGAGCAAAAATAAATATAACGCAGTTTTTCTTTTTTGAGGTTATGTTCTTGCGAAATGACATTTTAAGTTTTTACCCAGATTTTGATTCAAACTGAAACAATATCGTTTTAAATAATAATTAATATTAAAGATATGAGTTTAATTTACCATAAAGACATAAAACACCAATAAAATAATATTAAATTATACACAAATAGTTTAATAGTTCGTTTAAACATGAATGTCAAAAAGTGAATTTTCGACAACGCGATATGATTGGTCAGAAACACAAGATGGACGCAGACTTCCGGGATTCAGATTTAAAAATTCTAATTTAATTTCGAGTTATTAAAGTAATTTACCTTTATTGTGTTACCTTGATTATATTAAAATGTTAAAACAAATTAGTAAATTCATTAATTTGCAAAAATAATAAAGAATTTAAAAACATTTAGTAGCCACCTAGCGTCGTTTATGCGAATCAGTTTTGTTTACTTTAAAACGTCAAATTAAAGTGATTGTGTTTTAGGTTATAAAATAATAATTTAATTTTTATTTATAAACGATTGTTTAATGATTTTATTTAATATTAAAATGAATATTAATTTTTTCAGGAATAATAGCAAAATTATCAACGTATCTCCGAACAAAAACAGCAAAAAGAACCGATTACCGAGTAAAATTAATGGGTGAATTAATCGGGGGGATACAAGTGGTGAAAATGTACGTTTGGGAAAAGCCTTTTGAAAAAATCGTCGAAATTGCCCGAAAAAAGGAGATAGATCTATTAACTTACACCTCATATATTCGAGGTTGTTATGCAAGCTTTGCAGTTTTTACTGAAAGAACAACGTTATATTTCTCAGTTATTTGCTATTACATTCTTGGAAATAAAATAACGGCCCACACTGTGTTTTCAATGGCTCAATTTTATAACATCCTTCAAATGTCGATGGCAATTTTCTTTCCCTTAGCGGTGACTTTAGGTGCTGAAGCTTTAGTTTCAATTCAAAGATTAGAAGAAATATTAATGATGGAAGAAAGACACAACGATATAGAATTAAGTGAAAATCCAGGAATTATTATAGAAGATTTAACAGCTTCTTGGGTTCTTGGACAACCCAATTTGATTAATTTAAATTTAAGAGTCCCCGAAGGAATGTTATGTGCCATAGTTGGACCGGTTGGTTCAGGAAAATCAACAATTTTACAATTATTATTAGGCGAATTAAGACAAGACCATGGAAGCGTTAAAATTGGGGGGAATATTTCTTATGCAAGTCAAGAACCTTGGTTATTCGTTTCAACCGTAAGGAAAAATATCGTTTTTATTCAAAATTATAACAAATTTAGGTATAACAAAATCGTTAAAGTTTGCGCTTTAGAAAGAGATTTTGAGTTATTTCCAAATGGTGATAAAACGATGGTTGGGGAAAGAGGGGTTTCTTTAAGTGGTGGACAAAGAGCCAGAATTAATTTAGCCAGAGCTATTTATAAAGACGCAGATATTTATTTATTGGATGATCCACTTTCAGCTGTTGATACTCATGTGGCTAATCATCTTTTTGATGAGTGTATTAATGGGTATCTTAAAGGAAAGACGCGGATTTTGGTGACGCATCAATTACAATTTTTAAAAAAGGTTGATCATATTATTGTTTTAAATAATGTAAGTTATAAAACAATATTAATAAGAGGTGGTATTAAATTATTTTTAATTAGGGAAAAGTTGAAGCTCAAGGAACTTTCAATCAATTATTATCAAGCAACTCAAATTTCATGAAATATTTACAAAAACAAGAAGAGAGTCAAGAAAATGAGTTACAAAATGAAATGAATGATATTGTCTTGCAACATCGAAGAACTGAGTCGCTTGCATCAACGAAAGTAATTTTTTTTTTTTATTTACAGTACACTAGCGATAGTGTGAACATAAAAATACAGAGGGCGGTCATACTAACTAGGGTGTAAAGTCCCTAGATTTACAAAGTACCGCGATTTGCCCCCATTTTGGCTCGAAAGTCAAGCGGGAAATTTAAAACTATGTCATTTGGTAGTTTTGGTCATTCGTTACGTTTTACGATTATACAGGGTGTTTCTGTAAGTCGAGGCATAAATTTAATCACTGAAACTAGAGACGAAATGATGACGATTATATTTCTTATTGTTTTGTTAAAAAAGATCACATATCAAAGTCGAAATCCTATTAGTTACTAATTTACAAAATTAAAGCTTAAAAAGTTGTAAAATGAAATTAAGGACGAAGTGTTATAAGTTTACAGGTTAAAATTTAAGAATGCTCTTTTTTAACAAAAGAAATGTTAAGAAACTTGGGAAAAATCCAAGAATCATTATGTGGCTTAAAAATCGACGATTTTTTTAAATGAATATAAAAAAAAAGTGACTAACACCAGATTAACTTCAGTCATAAAACTTCTATTATATGATAACTAACTTCAGGTTTAAAATGTTAACATCAATTTTGACATATTTGTAATCTTGATTAAAAATCCTTTAAAATGAGTACAAACACGACATATTTATCTTCAATATTATTGAAGTTATGGTCAACTTCCGGTTAAAAATGTCAACGTCAATTTTGACACATTTGTGATCGTCGTGAGAAATCCTTTAAAATGAATCCAAACATGATAGGTTTAATTCCAATATTACTCGAGATATAAGCAACTTCCGGTTTGAAATGTCAATGTCATTTTGATATATTCTTAATTTTTATAAAATGTCTTAATATTTGTCACAGAAACAAAAATATAATAAAAAAAAATCAAAAATTAAGGTTGGTATTAATATTTAAAAATTAAATTGCTAACTTCATTGTTGCTAACTTCGGGTTTAAGTTTTTTTATTCAACTTTTTTGTTTTTTGAGATAAGTGCGTCATGTTTGGACTCATTTTAAAGGTTTTTTAATGAAGATGACAAATATGTCATAATTGACGTTGACGTTTCAAACGGGAAGTGATTGTATTTCATTAATATTAAAGTTAAATATGCCGAGTTTGGACTCATTTTAAAGGATTTTTTATGAAGTTGACAAATATGTAAAAATTAAAAGTAGAAAGTTCAAACTTTTTGGTTTTTTGAGATAAATGCGTCATGTTTGGACTAGCTTTAACACGTTAGCTGCCAAAGTGAATTTAATAGTCTTGCCAATAACGCCGTGTCCACCCATTTGGGTGGACGTGGCAGCGAACGTGTTAAAGGTTTTTTTTTATAAAGAATACATCATGAAAGAACACCATGAAGTTGTCCACTTGTTTGTTATATGATAACTAATTTCAGGTTTAAAATGTCAACCCCAATTATGACATATTTGTTATTTTCATTAAAAATCCTTTAAAATGAGTTCAAACATGATACGTTTAATTCCAATATTACTCGAGATATAAGCAACTTCCGGTTTGAAATGTCAATGTCATTTTGACATATTCTTAATTTTTATAAAATGTCTTAATATTTGTCACAGAAACAAAAATGTAATAAAAAAAAATCAAAAATTAAGGTTGATATTAATATTTAAAAATTAAATTGCTATCTTCATTGTTGCTAACTTCGGGTTTAATGTTTTTTATTCTAACTTTTTCATTTTTTGAGATAAGTGCGTCATGTTTGGACTCATTTTAAAGGTTTTTTAATGAAGATGACAAATATGTCAAAATTGACGTTGACGTTTCAAACCGGAAGTGATTGTATTTCCATTAATATTAAAGTTAAATATGCCGAGTTTGGACTCATTTTAAAGGATTTTTTATGAAGTTGACAAATATGTAAAAATTAAAAGTTGAAAGTTCAAACTTTTTGGTTTTTTGAGATAAATGCGTCATGAAAGAACACCATGAAGTTATCTATTTGTCTGTTATATGATAACTAACTTCAGGTTTAAAATGTCAACCTCAATTATGACATATTTGTTATTTGCATTAAAAATCCTTTAAAATGAGTCCAAACATGATACGTTTAATTCCAATATTACTCGAGATATAAGCAACTTCCGGTTTGAAATGTCAATGTCATTTTGACATATTCTTAATTTTTATAAAATGTCTTAATATTTGTCACAGAAACAAAAATGTAATAAAAAAAAATCAAAAATTAAGGTTGATATTAATATTTAAAAATTAAATTGCTATCTTCATTGTTGCTAACTTCGGGTTTAATGTTTTTTATTCTAACTTTTTCATTTTTTGAGATAAGTGCGTCATGTTTGGACTCATTTTAAAGGTTTTTTAATGAAGATGACAAATATGTCAAAATTGACGTTGACGTTTCAAACCGGAAATGATTGTATTTCCATTAATATTAAAGTTAAATATGCCGAGTTTGGACTCATTTTAAAGGATTTTTTATGAAGTTGACAAATATGTTAAAATTAAAAGTTGAAAGTTCGAACACGTTTTTAATAAACGATCTTTCCATACTTTAAGTTTTCGCTTCTATCCATCGATTTAATCTGCAATGGTATATTCTCTGAAGGAACTTCGATAGTTCGTTTCGAAGCTCGAATACCCTTGAAACGACTTTTCCCGTCAGAACATACACCTACACAGAATTTGAGGTCCAATCCACAGTTTTGAGTATTTCTGAACTAGTGGTTTTTATTGGCAGTGAATTTGAAAAAAAACTCTTCCTTAAATCACCATTCTGTTCAAATCTCACATACACCAAAAGAATCGCCTTACTAGGAAGATCTATAAATTCGTCAAGTTGCAAAGGCAAATATTTTGATGCTTTTATTTGTTCAATTAACTGATCTTCAATATCATGAGTGAGGACGTGAATTTGACGAGCTATGGTGTCATTTGAGAGTGGCCACTTTCTTTGCGGCCTACTCTCCCAGAATTTCGAAGCAAACATTCTTAATACAGTCGGCCACTAGTCCCTCACCTATTGTGTACGGCTAAAAGTTATAGCAATTTGAAGAGCAACTTTGTAACAAGCTCGCAGTGCAGCAATATTTATGTGTGACAACTGAAATATCTGTCTTATCTGTTAACATAAGACATATTTTCCCATTGCAGCAATGTTTTGATATTTTTAAGTTTTGTTTCTAAGATTTGTAAGTTATCATTGTAAGCTTTTTGTTTTGGTAATTGTATCTGGATATTCTTTGCTCTTTTGGGATGAGCAGGTTAAAGGTGTTCCAAATGAATCCATTAATATATTCACTTTGTTGCTTCATGAACAAAGTGATGAAATTTTGACACTGATTTGTTTCATTTCTAGCCTTGTAGTATTTTGGCCACCAATTTTTATTAATCTATGAAATCTTTTGTTGCAACTTCCTTTACAGTAAAAGTGTTTTTAGTGCTAGAAGTTATAATAAATTCAGTGAATGTATGGACATCATAAACTCGGTCAACTTTCTGTAAGCTTCTGTTAATCACTCCAAAATCTCTGTCACAGGGCAAAAAAGAATGTCCTCGCAAGTTTTGACTTTCAGGCACTTTCAGTTAAGGCCATGCATGTTCTTATTATGCAGTGATTNAAATTAAAAGTTGAAAGTTCGAACACGTTTTTAATAAACGATCTTTCCATACTTTAAGTTTTCGCTTCTATCCATCGATTTAATCTGCAATGGTAAAACAGGAAACCATCCTTCATTGCATCGAGGTATTTAGGTCATTAGAGATGGCAAAGATGTTAGCCAAATAAGCGAGCTTAGCCACCTAATTTACATCAAGGAGAAATTGGGCCAAAGTTTGTTTTTTGCTCTGAAGGAACTCCGATAGTTCGTTTCGAAGCTCGAATACCCTTGAAACGACTTTTCGAATTGTTTCATTTATAGCCTTGTAGTATTTTGGCCACCAATTTTTATTAATCTATGATATCTTTAGTTGCAACTTCCTTTACAGTAAAAGCGTTTTTAGTGCTAGAAGGTATAATAAGTTCAGTGAATGTATGGACATCATAAACTCGGTCAACTTTCTGTAAGCTTCTGTTAATCACTCCAAAATCTCTGTCACAGGGCAAAAAAGAATGTCCTCGCAAGTTTTGACTTTCAGGCACTTTCAGTTAAGGCCATGCATGTTCTTATTATGCAGTGATTCTTGTTTTGCGCTGGATAATTATCAGAAAACAATCGGAATTCTTTTACATCAAAAGAAACATACTTTTCTATATACTCCATTATGAATGTAGCGACTTCATTAGGGCCTTTTGCAGCTACACCCTCATGGTAAATATACAAAAAAAAATTATTTGTCTTTAAGTCGTGAAATACACTTACACTTAATTGAGATAGGTAAAAGAGATCTTGTATCTGTGGCAGTTATAGATTATGCATCTAATCAAGTGTAATAGCTGCAAGATCTCGTCGTTCTTTATATTCTGCAGTCGTTTTTAAAGCATTGTAGAACTTCTTCGCTCGTCTTTCATCAATAAGCTTTTCAGCAACTCTTTTTGCATTATCTTTTAGAGATGGACTCTTGATTTTGAGGGCTAATTCCTCACACTTGTTGTATATTAGATAACCGTATTTAATTTTTGTGCCTTGAAATTTTTTAAGAAACAACTCGTATATTGCTTTTACATTAAGCCGTGCATCTGGATACTTGAATTCTTTTCCAGAATATTGAGATTCTTTAACTGGGAATGACAAGATATGAGTTCTAACAAGTTCTTTTACACTTTCTTCAATTTCCTTTAATATTTGTACCCCGTTTATCACAAGGAACTTCATCATTCACAACTAAACGCTTAATTCTTTTAATTCGTCCGAACTAATACCATGAATACTTGCAAATGATCCTTTATTGTTTTTTCTTCGATATTGACAAAATGTAGAAACGATTTATTTCTATTCATCCCATTTTCTTTGCGTTGTTGTCTTTTGGCTACAGTTGTAGTTTGTAGCAGCCCTTGCAGATAAATGTTTTGTTCAGACCTAGAACTAGAATTTTTTTGGGCTAAACCCAACACCGTCTAGTTCTAGGTCTAGTGTTAGTTCTAGTTTTAGTTCAATAAAAATATACAACATAGTAGTATCTTATGCTAACTAGCGCTGTAATTCGGTAACAGTTATCAGCACATAAGTTCTTTCAACACCAAACAACTCTACGTGGGAATGGTCGAAACTGTATGTTTACATGGATAACTCAAAATGACCAAAAAGTGACTTAGGTTGTTTCAGCAATAAGAGATTCAATTAAGTTTATTAGTGTTAGATATCACTTTATTAGCAATGTTCTCAATAAACTACAAGTCATCAATTTATAACAAACGAAATAACTTCCAACGCCTCACACATTCGGCTCTCTAACTCAACTCTGACTCTCTTACTAAATACTAAACTAATGCCCTTAACCGTCCTTCCCACTCCCTACTCTCTCTCTTCTTCATCTCTTTCTCTCTCTTAGCAGTATCGATCTTCACATTAGTTAAACCTAAATTATAGTTATTCATGAAGATTCATAAGACTTAAAAAAATCTGTAGATAATTTTTTTCTGAATATTTTTTTGAGTAATTTTGGCCATAACTTTTCTTTGAATTGTATGATTTCACTTATATTTATGAAATTTTGATTTGACCATTCTACAGCAACATTAAATGCTTTAATTGCATCGGAATGGCAATTTTTTTTTCAGTGCACTCATTTTCATCTTCATCTGAAAAAGACATTTCCACAACATCTGCTGCCTGCCTCATCCTTCTCCAAATGTTCCTCATCTGCAGCATGTAGTCACCCTAACATGTGCAGTTTATGATTTTGGAGAAACCAAGTCTTCTCAATTATTGTTGAGCCAAGTTTTTTCCACGCCGCAGACAAATGTATGAATTGTATCTTTTAGTGAAATTTTACTGAGAGCTGCAGCTATTCCTGTTTCCATTGAGTACAATTTGGTAGTAAATAATTTTGTGTTCACATTATCGGCAACTTCTCATCACCAAATGTTGTACTATACACAACATTTGGTACTATATTTTTTACATTTGGCATTTCTATTTTACATTTGGCACAATTGTACCATATCTTGATTATTTAATTTCTTTAATTTTTAGAGCGCTGTGTCAGAATTTGATGCAGAAATAAATTACGAAGACAACGAAGAATCCTCTTCGATCGAAGGAACCAACCCGTTCTCAAAATACATACAAGCAGGCTCAAATCTTTGCAGCTTCATATGTTTAACCACCCTTTTAATAATCGGTCAAATCGCGACGAGTTTATGCGATTACTTCTTAACATTTTGGACGAAATCCGACGAAGCCACCCCGAGGGGAAGTTACACTTACGTTTATATTTACACAGGCGTCGTCGTCGCTTGTATCTTTTTCGTCACGTTACGTTCAATCATGTTCTTCAAATTCTCAATGAACGCATCAAAAAATTTACACAACAAAATGTTCCATTCGTTATTAAAAGCCCCGATGAGATTTTTCGACACAAATCCTAGTGGAAGGATTTTAAATCGATTTTCGAGGGATATGGGGGCGATGGATGAAGTTCTTCCTCGAGTGGGAATTGACGCAATACAAATCTTTTTGGTTATGTGTGGGATTATTGTTATGATTGGAATTGCTAATCCTTATATGGTTATTGCGGCTGTTATTTTGGGGATTTTTTTTTTGCAAATTAGGAGGTGGTATGCTTTAACGGCTAAGGATATTAAACATCTTGAAGGAACTAGTAAGTTTATGAACTCATTAATTTGATTTTATATTAATTTATTAAATTTTAATTAGCGAAAAGTCCGGTTTTATCGCATTTAAGTGCCACAATAAACGGAATTGAAACTGTTCGTGCAAATTCGTGCGAAATAATATTAAAATCAGAGTTCGATGAGCACCAAAATATCCACACTTCCGCTTGGTACTTAACAATAACTTGTATGGCGGCTGTTGGATTATGGCTCGATTTTCTTTGTGTTATTTTCCTCATGTGCATCGTTTTGGGATTTATCATCATGGATTATTGTAATTTTCCCATCCCTTTTAATCATAATTTTCTCAATTTTTTCATTTTTAGTTAATCCCGTTGAAAGTAGTAACGTTGGTTTGGCAATTTCCCAAGCGATGATTTTAACTGGGATGCTTCAATTCGGGGTTCGGCAATCAACGGAAGTTGTAAATCAAATGACTTCCGTTGAGAGGATCTTAGAATACACCAATATTGAATCTGAGGAGAATTTGGATCAAAAAACGATTCGAACGCAAGTTACTAAATCGTGGCCTCAACATGGAAAGGTTGAATTTAAACATCTTTATTTGAGATATTCCCCGGGGGAATCCCCGGTTTTAAAAAATTTATCTTTTACGATCCAACCGGGTGAAAAAGTTGGAATTGTTGGACGAACGGGAGCTGGCAAATCTTCAATTATTTCGGCACTATTTCGATTAACTAATTTAGAAGGGAGTATTTATATCGATAATGTTGATACATCGTCGTTAAGTATTTACGAATTAAGAGAAAAGATTTCAATTATCCCGCAAGAACCCGTTTTATTTTCATCAACAGTTCGCTACAATTTAGACCCATTCAATAATTACAAAGATTCCGAGATTTACAACGTTTTAGATCAGGTCGAATTAAAAAGATTTATTCCATCTTTAGATTTTGAAATCGACGAGGGCGGCGCTAATTTTAGCGTTGGACAAAGACAATTACTTTGTTTAGCTAGAGCTATTTTAAGAAACAATAAAATTTTAGTTTTGGACGAAGCAACAGCTAATGTTGATCATACGTAAGTATTAATTACATTAAAAATTATTAAATTAAAATCAAAATCATTTTTAGGACCGATTCTTTGATTCAAACTACGATAAGGAAAAGATTCCAGTCGTTCACCGTTTTAACAATAGCGCATAGATTAAATACAATTATGGATTCGGATAAAATTTTGGTGATGGATGCTGGGAAATTGGTCGAGTTTGATCACCCGCATATTTTGTTGCAAAATCGTGATGGATTTTTATATAAAATGGTTGAAGAAACTGGATCGGCTATGATGAGTCAATTAATGGAAATAGCCGAAGCAACTTATGTTAGAGATACACGACTATAATAAGTTATTTTTTTTAAATATAGTGTAATTAAAATAGGTTATTAATAAAATACAATTATTATACCAGACACTTCCTCAATGTCCATTATGGAACCATCGCGATAGATCGAGCACAAACAGCAGAGTTAAAACCCTCAAAGTATTGGTATAACAACATATGCAGAGAACTTTGCGTCGTAATGATGGGCAGCATAAATAAAAGGGCTTATTAAGGTGTGGGACCAATGTCTTGATGGACTTTTGATTTCATCCCAAGTCATAATCCTCTATTCTTTAGAAAACCCTCATTTATACCCTAAGAGTTCTTCTCATTCTTTGGAAGTTGCGCAAGTTGTTGAGGAGTGTTGTGCTCTTAAAAAATCTGCGAGCATCACATTATGGTTATACTTCAGCTGTCCGATCTTTGCGCAATTTAAGTTGAAGCTAGTGATGGAACGGATAATGATTTTACGAAAAGCCGGATATTCGGCATCCCTTTCGGCCGGATATCCAGTTATCCGGCATATCTATTCAACCATTCTGGTTATAATTTCTGGTACATTTCTGAAGTGATACCCTACATTGCCACATTATTGCGATATTTGAATAAAAATGAAATTAACAAGAAAGCTGTTAAGATCTTCTATGGGATTGAGGTCGAGACTGTTAAATGGCCAATCCATGAACTGAATATCAACAGCATCCAAGTAATCAATATCCTGTCTAGCCACGTGAGGACGTGCATTATCTTGCATGAATACAAAATTAGGGCCCAAAAAAGGAGCAAATGGCATTACATGTTCAAGTACGATGTTTTCCAGATTACCAATGCTGTGCGAGCGTCGAAGCAGAAAAGCAGCTTGTTTCATCAGAAAATAAAATTTTTTTCAATCATTAATAGAGCAATGTTGGTGATTTCGGGCAAAACGCAATCTTTGAATTGTGTCCTCTCTGGTGAATAATGGTTTTTTTGCTGTTCTTTAATTCGGCTTCATTTAAACGTCTTCTGATTGTTCGAAACGATCTTGCAACATTACGAACCTCCAATAACTGATTTTTTAACACATTACTAGCTCATCCCTTTGATGGGTACATCGTTTTCGTCCTTGCTCTGATCTTCGAATGTGAGATCCAGTTTCGATAAACCATCTAATCATACGACTTATGCTGGAATGATTCCTTCCTAACACATTGGTAACATAACGCATCGAGTACCCCTCATCCAGCAGAGTTAGATGAAACTGTAAACATCTACGTGAAAATAAATCACACGCAAAAGCTTCACTCTTACACAAAATTGTCTAAACTGTAACTTTTTGAAAAAAAAAAACGAGAGTTTTAATCAAAAGCGATTTTAACTACGGTTTATAACCTTAAAAACAAGGTATTCTTTGTCAATATTTGTTTTAAATGTTTTAAAAGAAGATCTATAGCCTATTAGCAGTAAAGCTAGTAAATTACAACTTATCATTAATAAATTAAAAATACTGGAAAAATGGAAGTGGTACGGTAATTTTGTCCAGGAGTTTATTTTGTAAAATTTAGACATAAATAATTTAGTACAAGTTTGGCCAAATTTAAATAATCTTAGTTAGATTTTGATCGTTTTATATAGTTTTCAACAAATTTAGATAAGTTTAAACAATTTTAGATACATTTTATTTAATTTCAGTAACACTGATCATTCTGAACTATTTTGCAAAATTTAGACAATTTTAGACATAAACAATTTAGACAATTCAGTACAAGTTTGGCCAAATTTAGATAATTTTAGTTAGAATTTGATCATTTTAGACAGTTTTCAACAAATTTAGACAAGTTTAAACAATTTTTGACAATTTGTAAAATTTAGACAAACAATTTAGTACAAATTTGGCCAAATTTAGATAATTTTAATTAGATTTTGATCGTTTTAGACAGTTTTCAACAAATTTAAATAATTCTAGATACATTTTATTTAATTTCAGTAACACTTTGATCATTTTGAACTATTTTGTAATGTTTAGACAATTTTAGACATAAACAATTTAGTACAAATTTGGCCAAATTTAAATAATTTTAAATTTTATTTAATTTCAGTAACAATTTAGACAATTGTGTTCAAGTTTAGCAAATTTTAGATAATTTTAGCCACATTTTGATCGTTTTAAACAGTTTTCAACAAATGTAGACAAGTTTTGAACAATTTTAGATACTTTTTATTTAATTTCAGTAACATTTTGATCACTCGGAATTATTTTGTAAAATTTAGACATAAACAATTTAGTACAAATTTGGCCAAATTTAGATAATTTTAATTAGATTTTGATCATTTTAGACAGTTTTCAACAAATTTAGACAAGTTTAAACAATTTTAGATACAGTTTATTTAATTTCAGTAACATTTTGATCATTCTGAACTATTTTGTAAAATTTAGACCATTTTAGACATAAACAATTGACACAATTTAGGACAAGTTTGGCCAAATTTTGATAATTTTAGTTAGATTTTGATCGTTTTAGACAGTTTTTAATAAATTTAAACTATTTTAGATACATTTTATTTAATTTCAGTAACATTTTGATCATTCTGAACTATTTTGTAAAATTTAGACCATTTTAGACATAAATAATTGAGACAATTTAGTACAAGTTTAGCCAAATTTTGATAATTTTAGTTAGATTTTGATCGTTTTAGACAGTTTTCAACAAATTTAGACAAGTTTAAACAATTTTTAGATACAGTTTATTTAATTTCAGTAACATTTTGATAATTCTGAACTATTTTGTAAAATTTAGACCATTTTAGACATAAATAATTGAGACAATTTAGTACAAGTTTAGCAAAATTTTGATAATTTTAGTTAGATTTTGATCATTTTAGACAGTTTTCAACAAATTTAGACAAGTTTAAACAATTTTAGATACAGTTTATTTAATTTCAGTAACATTTTGATCATTCTGAACTATTTTGTAAAATTTAGACCATTTTAGACATAAACAATTGACACAATTTAGGACAAGTTTGGCCAAATTTTGATAATTTTAGTTAGATTTTGATCGTTTTAGACAGTTTTCAACAAATTTAAACTATTTTAGACACATTTTATTTATTTTCAGTAACATTTTGATAATTCTGAACTATTTTGTAAAATTTAGACAAACAATTTAGTACAAATTTGACCAAATTTAGATAATTTTAATTAGATTTTGATCATTTTAGACAGTTTTCAACAAATTTAGACAAGTTTAAACAATTTTAGATACAGTTTATTTAATTTCAGTAACATTTTGATCATTCTGAACTATTTTGTAAAATTTAGACCATTTTAGACATAAACAATTGACACAATTTAGGCCAAGTTTGGCCAAATTTTGATAATTTTAGTTAGATTTTGATCGTTTTAGACAGTTTTCAACAAATTTAAACTACTATTAGACACATTTTATTTATTTTCAGTAACATTTTGATAATTCTGAACTATTTTGTAAAATTTAGACATAAACAATTTAGTACAAATTTAACCAAATTTAGATAATTTTAATTAGATTTTGATCGTTTTAGACAGTTTTAACAAATTTAGACAAATTTAAACAGTTTTAGATATATTTTATTTAATTTCAGTAACATTTTGATCATTCTGAACTATTTTGTAAAATTTAGATCATTTTAGACATAAACAATTGAGACAATTTAGGACAAGTTTGGCCAAATTTTGATAATTTTAGTTAGATTTTGATCGTTTTAGACAGTTTTCAACAAATTTAAACTATTTTAGCCACATTTTATTTATTTTCAGTAACATTTTGATAATTCTGAACTATTTTGTAAAATTTAGACATAAACAATTTAGTACAAATTTGGCCAAATTTAGATAATTTTAATTAGATTTTGATCATTTTAGACAGTTTTCAACAAATTTAGACAAGTTTAAACAATTTTAGATACAGTTTATTTAATTTCAGTAACATTTTGATCATTCTGAACTATTTTGTAAAATTTAGACCATTTTAGACATAAACAATTGACACAATTTAGGACAAGTTTGGCCAAATTTTGATAATTTTAGTTAGATTTTGATCGTTTTAGACAGTTTTTAATAAATTTAAACTATTTTAGATACATTTTATTTAATTTCAGTAACATGTTGATAATTCTGAACTATTTTGTAGAATGTAAACATTTTTAGACAAACAATTTAGTACAAATTTGGCCAAATTTAGATTATTTTAATTAGATTTTGATCATTTTAGACAGTTTTCAACAAATTTGGACAATTTTAGATACATTTTATTTAATTTCAGTAACATTTTGATCATTCTGAACTATTTTGTAAAATTTAGACCATTTTAGACATAAACAATTGAGACAATTTAGTACAAGTTTGGCCAAATTTAGATCATTTTAGTTAAATTTTGAACGTTTTAGACAGTTTTCACCAAATTTACACATGTTTAAACAAGTTTTGACAAATTTTATTTAATTTCAGTAACATTTTGATCATTCTGAACTATTTTGTAAAATTTAGACAAAAATAATTTAGACAATTCCACACAAGTTTGGCCAAATTTAGATAATCTTAGTTAAATTTAGATCGTTTAGACCAGTTTTCAATAAATTTAGACAAATTTAAACAATTTTTGACAAATTTTATTTAACTTTAGTAACATTTTGATCGTTCTGAACTATTTAGACAAAGAATTTAGACAATTTAGTACAAGATTGGCCAAATTTAGATAATTTGAGTTAGATTTTGATCGCTTTAGACAGTTTTCAACAAGTTTAAACAATTTTTCACAAATTTTATTTAATTTCAGCAACAATTTAGACAATTGTGTTCAAGTTTAGCAAATTTTAGATCATTTTAGCCACATTTTAATCAATTTAGACAGTTTTGAACTAATTTAGACGAGTTTAAACCAATTTTGCGCTTTTAAATAATTAAGGACACTATAATAAATTAATTAAATAAAGATTTCTTTCTGTACAGAAAAGGTTGGGTTAGTTGCTAAGCTAAGTAGTTCAACTATTATTAAAGAGATGGCGTAAAAATTAATTTGTTTATAAAAAAAACTATAAAACCAATAAAATCTTAATAATATAATAATA